GCCTCCAGCGCATTGGGGGAGTTCATGGAGGTCTAATTAGCAAATTTGGAGGTCTGGGCCACCTGGCCCTCTGAGTCCCTGAACTGGGGTGGAGAAACTGTGCAGGTGGGATGGAAGAAGGCCAGACGATGTCCAGGCAGGCAGGGCCCGTGGCGTGCTGACTGTGTGGCTGGCGCTGGAGTGGGGGTGCTTCAGGAGCCCCAGCACGAGTGCCTCATTCCCAGACCTCGGGCCCAGGTCTGGGTGGAGGCCCCTCTGCTCCTTCTGGCGGGGACTCTCCCTAGAGGGGCTGAGCCTCTTCCAAATACATCACAGCTGTGAAAGAAAGGAGGTCGTTACTCACGGCCACTTGGTGCCCAGGGTGTGCATAGCACAGAGTCCTTGTCTGGGAGGTACTTCCAAGGCCTTGCACCCAGCAAGGTGCTGTCAGACTCATGGACACACAAGCTTTTGAAGAAGCACCTGGGGCCAGCGCGGACAAAGTTCGGGCAACAGAGACAAGGGCGTCCTCTGCAAGGCCGGCTGCCCTCATGGTGCGTTCCGCGCCTGGGTCTAGGCCCAGATGGAGCTTGCCAGGTGGCCACCTTGGCTGGCATCACCGTACATCTGGGGGTAAAAAGGTTCTGGCCCCGAAACGTGTCAGTTCTGTGTTTGCTGTTCTGATCCCAGAACATGAGTGCACGCGTGCGCCTCAGAGCATCCTCTGTCAGGGCTCCAGGGCATGGGCGATGAGTGGATGTCGGGGAGGCCCCTGTTCTCAGGACAGGGTGCTGGGTCCCCCAGGAGCCACTCCCAACAGAGGGGTGCCCTGGAGGTTGGGGCAGGTGGAGGTGGTCCCCACTGGCTTCCATGGCTAGGCCTCTGGGGAGTGACCGCACCAGGGGCCAAGGGCCCCCTCCTGTTGCAGGAATTCCTGAGGTCTCAGAAATAACTCCACACCACTCTCTTGAGTATGTGCAGTTTCCAGGGGGTTTAGACAGCAAGGTCTTAGGGAGGTTGGTCAGGGGACAGGGGTAACAGGGGAACAACCTTGCTGGCCAGGGTGCCCCTCCTGAGGGGGCTGTATCACATCTGGAACAAGGTGGAGACATGGCCAGGCAGGCTGGCTGCTGCTGGCACGCTCAGCGCCTTAGGGTGGCAGGGGACGAGAGCATCCTCCCGTTACTTCAGGGTAGCTGGCACAGCCTACTAGTCAAACCACTGTCCAGAACCTTTTGTTCTGGCAGGAGAGGAAATCACTGATTAGAGCCCATGTCACTGGTCATCATCAGTGATGTGAGGCGTGTGGACTAAAGACCCGTCCCCCACACTCTATGCTCAACATACCCTCAGACTCGGCCCCTCCCTCTGATGCTGCCCAGAAGCTGGACTGGAGAGTCTCCCCAGAACTGGGGGCATGGGGGTGCCTCCGCAGAACCAGGACCGTGCTTGCCAAAGTGGATACGTGCGTGACCTGAAGCTGGATGAAGGTCAGCTGAGATCTCTGTGAAAGAGACTTCCTCTCTGAGTGTTCCCCTTCCCTGGTCACCCCATCCCTCCCTCTCAGGGGTGATGTGTCTGTGTGTGCAGGGCTGTGTTTGGGCTCTCCCCTGCTGGCTGTGGGCAGGGAACAGCCAGTTCACAGGCAGAAAGACCCACCAGGATCCCTGGGTGGGTCCTGAGCCTCTCACGGTGCGGGGGGGGGGCGGGGTCCTCAGGAGAGGGGACTCACCGTTGTGATGTACTGGCTGGGCATCTGCAGCCGTGAGCCCCTCCTGGGGGCAGCAGAGGAGGCGCTCTGGGGGCCCCCCTCAGAGAACAGCCCTGGGAGCCCGAGGCCACTGTCCCCCGACGACGTGCACTCTGTCACAGCAAAGAGGGGCTGGGTCAGGGCTGGCTGCCCCCTCAACTCTGTGCTCAGCGCTCAAGGCCCCCCTGAAGCGTGTAAATAGAGAATGAGGCGTGTCCTGTGCGTGCAGACTTACCCCAGGACAACTGTGAGGCTGGGTCAGAGCAGACCGGATGGCACTGCTGGAGGCCAGACACCCTTATGAGCAAATGTGTCCTGACCCTGCTTTTCCAAAATCAGCCAACTGGGAGGGAGATGGTCAGGTGGCCTCTCCAAGCAGGGAGCCTCTGGCTCACACCAGGCAACTCAAAGGGCAAACACAGAAAATGAGACCAAAGAAAGGCCACATGGCTTAAATAAAGAGCTGGAACAGGTCGGACGAGGTCTCCGCCCCAGAGGGTTGTCGGGGGCCTGCTGTGTTACTGCAGATGAAGTGATAACCAGGGCCCTGCCTGCCGTGTAGGCATAAACTCCCGTCGGCTGGCGGGGGCTTTACCACAAGCTTCTGTGCAGGGGTCACAGTGCTGTTTCTGCATGGAGCTGAGGGGGGCCGAGCAGAACCCTCCTGCACAGACCCTGCGCCTCCACGGGAGAAGAGAAAGCCCCACCTCCAGACTCGGGCTTCAGCGGGGTGTGCCAGCCCATGTGGGAGCTAGGGAGGACACCAGCAGGAAGGTGCAGTGGCTCTGGGCTGGCAATGCGGGTGTGCCCCGAGCTGTGCTCCCCGTGGGCCCGCCCAGGACACAAGCTTGACCGAGGTGGCCGCTGTTCTGAGCATGTGTGCAGCCCCTGGAGCACCTGGGCACCCCCACAGGTTTCAGGTATAATGCCTCCATCTGGGCAGAGACGGGTTTGGGGTTGGAGGTGCCCTCTGAGTGCTGTCACGGTGGCAAAGGCACACTGGGGGCTTGGAAGGTTGTGTGTCCCAAGCAGTGTTGCCCTGAGGCAACCTCACCAGGGCTGTGGTACTGTGGAATGGATTTTTCTGGGAAACCAGATAGCTGTGACCCTCCACGTCACACCTGTGGTGATTCTCCACAAGCAGGAGGCTGAGGAAACCAGCCAGGTGGGCCCTGCCAACACACCCGCTCCCTCCTCGTGGAGCTGAGAGCAGGCCGGCGCTTGCGGACTGCGACTCTACTGGGTATTCGGTGCGTGGTTGACCAGGGGGATGTATGAGCCCGGCCGCGAGGCCCGACAACACGGACACAGTCCACAAAGCACACGTGTGCCGATCACAAAAGCGTTTGTGCTCCGTCCCCACTCCCTGCTGTCACGGACATGCTCAGCCTTCAGCTCTATCCCCATTAGTCCTTCTGTTCTCCGTTCTCCTTCTACCACATTCTCTGGGATTGAGCTACTCTTACAATTCCATTTTATCTCCCCTGGAGGTGTATTAGCTGTAAGTCTTTGTTATTTTAGGGGTCATTTGGGGTTTAAAATGTATATCTAACAAATCAGATGCCTCCCGTGACACTGTACATCTCGGCCACGATACAGAACCGCCACGTCTCCATACGTTCTGTGTGCACACACCCCACCAGCCTCAAGGACATTAACGTGGGGAGCCCTTTCCACCGTGCTGGTTCAGACAGCCCACTGTCTCTTCAGAGCTTTCAAAAGAAGAGTCTTCCTTTCTGCCGCCTCTGTTGCACCTAGTGTCACTGTCCTCCTCCCTGGAGAACATCCTTTAATCATGTGCTGCTAAGGAATGGTTTCAGCTTTTGTGTGCGTGAAAACGTCCTTGTGTCACCGTTTCTGAAAGACATATTTGTCATGCTGAACTCTGGTTTGATGGTTTTTCCTTTCAGAGCATTCTAACTGTCCCTCCCCCCACCCCCGTCGTCTGTGATGAGAAATGTGCTGCCCCCCGCCCTGTCCCTGTGCGCAGAACACGCCGGCTCTCTCTGGCTGCTTCCAAGATGTTCTTTCTGTTCGTCACCGGGTTTCCAGTTTGTGATGTGCATTTGTGTGTGCTTGGGGCTCACTGGTCTTCGGGCTTGGAGGTTTACACCCTTCACCCAATCAGGGAAATATTCAGCCACTGTTCCTTCAAAGTTTTGTTGTCCCTCCATTCTGGGGCTCTATTATGTGTTTATGAAGCCACTGGGAGTTGTCCCATGGCTCACCGATCTTCTTCCTTCTCGGTGTGTCACTTTGGACAGTTTCTATTGATACATCTGCACTAAGTCATGCTTTCTGTTAGCCACCCCCCAGGGACACGTTCACCTTAAGTACTGTGGCCTTTATCTTGCTTAGTCCGTCCTATTATGCCCTGTTGTGACTTGACATTTTGGACATCAGGGACAGAGAACGATGGTGTGAATGCCAGGACAGGTAATTCTAACAACCACATCAGTTCCAGCTGGGTTTGCTTGATTATTGCTCTTGTTATGGTCTGTTTCCTACTTCCTTGCATGCCTAGCACCAGACATTGTATATCCACCCTGTCGGCTGCTGGATATTTTTATAATCCTATAAATCTCCTTAGGCTTTGCTCTGGGATGCAGTTAGATTACCTGCAAACGCCCTGTATTTTCGACACAGTGGCAGGCCAGCAGGAATGTCCAGTCCAACACCCCTCCTGAGCAAGCCCTCCTGAGGACTTACCACCACCCTGGGGATGGGGCTGTTGCCCGTCTGCTGCTGGGAACACGTGTGTGTATGTGGGTGGGGTACTCTCTAGTCCTCCACAGGTTCCGGCCTGGACAGCCTCCTCAGGTGCAGTGCTGATCAGCATCCTGCTGGACCCAGACCTTGGAGGCCTGTCACCGTGCGGGGCTCCCCTCGCCTGTCCTTCACGGAGGGTCTGCAGGCTCTCCGTCCTGCACCCGGGGGCTTTCAAGGCAGAAATCAGAGCAATTGCAGGGCTCACATCACAGTCCTGTCTCTCAGGTCACTACCTTTGGTGCCAGATGTCCTATGTCTTAAAATCTTGTTTCATATACTTTGTTCATGTTTTATCTGGTTTTCGTTTGCTTGGTTGTTTTAAATCCATTTCCTGTTACCTTGTTTTAGGTGGAAGTGAAAGTTTTTGTTGTTTTTTTAATTAAAGAAAAATTATAATGTGTTTGAAGACTTTTGGAAGTATGTAAGATCAAGCAAGTTAAATGACCAGGTGAACTGCCGCCCACCCCTGGACCCAGCTGTTGGGAGGCCGGAGCGTGCGCTGCTAGGTGCACTCCCGCATGGAAGGCTGGCTCCCCGTCTCCTGCTCCAACTCCTCCAACTCCTCCTCCTCCTCCTCCTCCTCCTCCTCCTCCTCCTCCTCGAGGCAGGTGTGCATGTCATATGGCCAGGGGCAGGAGGCGGAGCTCAGCAGGGCTGGGCTGGCAGATGCTTGCAGGCTCAGTGGCCCCAGGGCGGAGGACGACTGGCTGCCAGAGGAGGAGGTACTGCTGTCAGAGATGGTGGAGTGTGGCCTCTTAAAGGGGGCGGCGTGGTCACAGGGGGGCACAACCATCGGTGCTCGGGTCCATGACTCTGGAAAGGGACAGAAAGGAGGTGGTTTGGCTTTTGCTCCCCAAGTACAGCCCAGATCCTAAAATGAAGTAGCCATCTGGGAAACTGATCAGGTCCCTCCCATTGCAGTCACGTCAGGCATGATGTGGCCACCACCCGTCCAGCCTTGTGCTGGCTCTTGAGGCCCACAGTGAACACCAGGGCCTGAGTCAGTCAGTGGGACAGAGTGAGGGGGAGGGCTGAAGCCACGTTACCTGCTCCCTTCTTGACAGCCCGGTGGCTTATGGCTGCGTCACTGGGCTGGATGTCCATGAACGGTTTGTTGCCTATCCCCATTGACACCATTTCTTGCATTCTGAGTTCTAAGACAGAATAACGTAGGACAACTTTCCAAGCAACTGCTTGGCTTTAATACCACTCCTGATGATGCTCGTACCCAACACCATCCGTCCAGACCAGGAGCATGTCAGGGCCTGGCCTAGCACCCTCCTGAGTGTTGCTGGGGGGCCAGAGGTGCTAGGGCTCCCGTTCTGGTACGTGCATCTGGCCTGACCTCACAGTGGCCTTTCTCAGGGACCTCAAGGAGCAAACAAGGAAAAGACGACATGGGGCTCAGGAACCGGGTGTCCAACTAGGGAGAGAAGGAAAGTGTCCCCTGTCACGAAGGACAGTGAGCCACGCAACAAGCCCAGCCGGCAGGGGTCACATGGCTACAAGAAAGACAAACTGACAGACATTTACGCGCCTCAGATGTTTACGCGCCTGACGTTTACATGTCCGTCTTTGATACTGAGCACAGGGTGAGAGTCTGAGAATGAGTAACTCCTTGGTAAAACCAAGCAAAGAAAACCAAAGATGATGGTCATAGTTGGGGGGGGGGCAGTTGGGAGGGAGGGGCAGGAACAGAGGAGACTGGGGAGGGCAATGGGGACCAGGCCAGGGGCGCTTCCTGCTCCTTGTAAGGGCTGGGTCCACTCTAAGGGGACTGAGGAGCCAGTGAGTATCTGAGCAAAGTTGCAGTGCACATGTATGCAGATGCACGTGTGCATGGGGGGGGGTCTACCCTTTGAAGGAAGCTGCGTGGGGAGGCTGTACTGCATCTCTGATGACAGGTCAAGATGTTGGCCAGGGTGGCAGCTGCAAAGGGGTCAGGTGGTCGTGTTTCGACATTTGGACATTGGAGCCCTTAGGGTTTCTCAGGCTTGGGGAGTCAGAGCTGACAGAGGGTCAGCTTGGAGATGGCATCTGTAGCAGCCAGACTGGATGAAATGCCATCCTGTGGGTGTGAACAGGAGGTGCCCCAGCATGAAATTGGGGGGTGGAGGGGAAGAGCAACCAAGGGGGCTGACTTCTAGGGGAGGAAACCTAGGTGGGGTCCTGGCACATGGGGCATGGCGCCTGACAGAGGAGGGCCCTCACCTGTAGGGAGGTCACAGGCGGGCCATCAGCCCAGCATCCGGGAGGGCAGGGAGCTTCGACAACAGGGTGATGCAGAAAGCAGTGGGCCTAAGGTGTCATGGAACATATTATAACATCTCTGGGAACAGGTGTGTTGTTTATATACGAGTAAAGGAGAAGTGTGTTTGTGCGCTGACGGACATATCCATCCATTTCCACATGGAGGGGGCTCTCCAAGGGCCACCTGGCCCAAACTGGCCCCAAACACCTACCCAGGTCCAAGCCACTAACCCCTGGACTCAAACCCCTGCCTCAACCCGGCCCCCAACCCCTGACGCCAACCCCCTGCCCTGAACCCAGCCCCTAACCCCTGGCCCCAAACCTCTACCCCAAGGCCGACCCCCTAAACATAGAGCTCGCCCTGGGGGGCCCTCTTCTGCCCACCTCTGTTCCGCAGAGCCTGCCGCCACAGAATCTGCCCTATCATGTGGGTCCAGGCCGTCTTGACCTCTGCGGAGCTGGCCTGGAGGACGTAGGTGTCCTGGGACTTTCGCCGCCTACGGAACCAGATCTCAAACCTCAAGCCGCTGCGTCCGACGTCCTCCGTCATCCCGATCTCTGCTGTCTGCACCATAAGCAAGTGGCAGCAGAGTCAGCAACCACCGGTCCTCACTTGAGCAACTGACCTCTCTCTGGCTGGCCGTCTGACCCCAACACTTCAGTGCTGGAGTTCCTTCATCCAGACACCAAATGGTGGGGAATGAACTGGGTTCCCACCCATGTGCACTGGCTCCGTCTTGGAGCCTCAGTTTCTCGACTGGAGAAAGGGAGGCTGGACTGGAAGGTTCTGTGGTGCCCTGGGGCTCTTGCCCTGGACGGGGCCACCGGACCCTTTCTGGTGTACCCCTCTGCATTGGCAGGTAAGGGGTTACAGGTGTGGGCTCTTCCTGGGAGCTCAGGAGCTAGGAACCTCCGTAGGGTGAGGGCCAAACTTGGAGACTGGCCCAGGGGAAGGCCACCTCTGGTGTTGGCCTTCACCAAAATCTGAGATGAAGTTACCAGATGAGGAGACTCAGTTTTCCAGCCACTGAACCAGTACGTGGAACTCTAAAGGACAAGTGTCTCCTTGCAGCGTTTGAAGCTCAGACACAGAACCCCAGGAAACAACAAATATCACATGCCCCGGCTCGTACCCAGCAGACCAGGACCTGACCCCCGGTGGCATCAGGTGCGAGGCCGGTGTGTTACCTTGAAGGACTGTTTGTACGTGTAGGTGTCATAGCCCCCGTCCACCTTCCTGGTCTTGCTAAACAGGATGAGGTCTTCAAAGAGGAACACGTGCCTCAAGTACTTTTTCCTCCCACAGCACACGATGAACTCGTCCTGGCATCTCAGCTGTCCCTGCTCCTTCAGATCCACCTGCGGACGGAGCAAGCCTCCTCAGGGGCCCTTGGACCTGCTCTGACCCCATCCTGACCCCTGGGGAGAGGAGAGGGGCTGGAGGTGGAACTGATCACCAATGGCCAGTGACTCACTCAATGATGCCTGCATAAGGAAGCCTCCGAAAAACCCAAAGGACAGGGCTCAAGAGCTTCTGGGGTGAACGTGTGTGGTGCCCCGGGGAGGGCACGCCCCTCTCCACATACCTGGCCCTGGCCTCTCTTCCGTCTGGCTGTTCCTGAGTATCGCCCCTTACAATAAACTGGTGGTGTTGGAAGTGAACTGTTTCTCCGGGGTCTGAGTGTCACAACCGACGTGTGTGGTTGGTGTGTGTCGGGGGCCAGCTGATAGGACGGGGAGCCCTTCTCCTGCGGGATCTTACCCTACGTCCAGGCAGATGGTACAGGATTGAGTTGAGTTATAGGACACCCAGCTGGTGCCTGAGAATTGTTGCTCAGAGGTATGGGGAAAACCCCCACACTGGAACTGGTGCAGAACCGGAGGGCCAGGTAAGGCTCCTGCTCGTCTGCATGGAGGGTACAGCTCTTCAGTTTTACTTAACTTTCCACTTGAAAGTCCTTGTGTTCATTTTAACGGAAGCCCTCTTGTTGACGTGGTGCTAGCCTCACTCATTACTGTACATAAACACCCAGTGTGGCCAACAGGGAGTCGAGTTATGAATTCTGCGGCTGAGCTGCTCCCTTACCCCCGGAAATCCCTCCAAGCTGCAGGCTGGGCTGAGGGCTACGTGGAGGATGTGGCCTGCATGCACTGGCCAGGCTACGGCTCCCTTTGTGGCATGCACCCCAAACCACAGACACTACTGCTAAGTCTCCCTCATGACCTTCCAGCCCGTGGACAGCCCTGTCCTGGGGGCTGCCTGAGAGTGGCTGGTTCAATCCCAAAGGACTTGGCTGGGCCTGCTGAATGGAGGGCTTCTGGGAGTGACCACACTTGGGGTGCCCTGAGTCCTCTACGGCTGTCCACAGAGAACTAAACTCCGTGCCGGACTCCATCTCTGGTGCTGGCCACTGCCACGGGTCTGCCTTCTCTAGCTGATGCCAGGGGGTCCCACCTTCAAGCCCAGGTGGGGTCAAAGGACAGGGTGTTGGCACATCTCCGGCTGTGCCCATACATAGGCCAGTTTACCTTGCAAGGCACCCAGGGTCGGTCAGTGGGAGGACAATCCATGTGGGGTGGTGGCCTGGGAGCTGTGCCGCATCATGGCGGCCAGAAGAGCTCATGCTCAGATTGCTGCACATGAAACTCTTAACGCTGTTTTTAGCAGAGCATGCGCATTTCCATTTTGTACTGGGAATTCTGTGGCTGTCCCTCCAGCTGTCAGAGACAAGGGGTTCTGCTGGAGAAAGGGCTCCTGCTCTATGCTGGTCCTGTCACGCCACCGTGGGGGGGGGCATGCACGCCAGGCCTCAGCAGCCCAGCAGAGAGGCTGGTGGCATGGGATGAGCCAACGGTGGTTGGCGTCAAGCCTGACAGCTACGCTCAAGTTTTCATGCATCCAGTTGTTTTAAAGTAGCCCCAATAAGCAGATGGTTAACCATTCAGAGCCTGGCACAGTTGCCCGGACATGAAGCCCCTCTCTGCTGCCCTCAGCTGCTGGCCCCTTGGGAGGTCTCAAGCTTCAGGAGACTTCCCCAAAGGAAAGCTCATGCATTCTGACCCCAGGCCTCATCTTTCCCGAACTCAGGAGAGCCCATCAGGGCCTCGGGGCACTTACGTCACAGCCTCGGACGGCATCCATTGCCAGCAGGTCATTGCCGTGACGCAGCTGGAAGCGGACCACGTCTTCGGCAGCCCGAAGCTCGCACAGCTCCTGCTCCCAGGCGGGGCAGCTGCTAGCCTCCCTGACCAGGTCCTGCAGCAGTAGCGCATACTTGCCCATGCGCTGCACGGGCTTCAGCAAGTAGGAGGCCAAGTCCATCTTGTCGCCCAGCTCCCGCTGCTTGTCCTGCAAGGGCCGGGGTGAGAGGGTCAGCCCGGGCCAGGAGGGGGGCAGCGCGGCTCGCAGGGTGGGGGGGGGTGACCTTGAAGAAGGCGTTGCCGTGGCTGCAGAGCAGGGCGTCCGACTGGGGCTTGTTCTTGCTGTAGAGTGCATACATGCCAAACTGTTCCTCCTGCAAAAGGGGAGGGCACCGTGTACCTGAGTTGGGGGCCCAGGTCAGAGTCTCTGCCTCTGCCCCCACCCTCTCTGTGCAGTCCCCCTGCGGGCATGAGACAAGGAGGCTCCATGCTGCATTACGACCATCTGGGCTTCCCAGCACGGGGGTGCAACTCGGGCCGATGCCAGAGTTCTAGAATTGATCTTTACAGTATAGGGTTTGGGGAAAGAGACAGAGGTCGGTCTGGGAAGGGGCATGGGGAGTGTTTGCTCACTAACAGTCAAGAACCAAAGTTGTATCAACATTTAAAATTCTCACCATTGTCAATATAAAGCAACACAGAGTTCACCTTATGGCTAAAAGCACCTTCTTAGAAATAGCTGGAAAGATGCAACATGGGATTTCTTTCCTCCTTAGGCATTTCTGTTGTGGTAATCTACACTTAATGATGCTGGGGCCAATGTCTCATCTGCCCACAGCCCAGATGCCATGTGTCCCCACTGCCTGGAACACTGCTTGAGAACTACTTGGTGAAAGCATTTTCTTTTCAGACCGAATTCAGAATTTTATTAAGACCTAGACAGGGAGAGGTTCATATTCACAGCTGAGAAGACAACTCCCTCCTTGAGTCAATGTGCACACTCCATGAGCCTCTGTTGAGACGCTGATGGGGCTGACTGCAGGTGGGACTGTGAAGGGGACCAGGTGGGCTGGTGCAGGAAGTAAACTGATTTGGGGAGTTGCTTTGGGCCAATTACCTCGAGTGGTAAGGAGAGGGATGTGTGTGACCATGCAGGTGAACCCCCAGTGTCATGTGGCTCTGGGGAGCCAAGGGTGCCTTCAGGTGGCACCAAGCCAAACGTCCAGTGTGATCAGACCCACAGGCTTCTTGTCTACTTTGGCGTCTGTTTGTTGACGGGTCTTATGTACTGTTAGGGACACATTTCCTAGGCCTGGTCTGTGGTGATCCAAATAACTTGATATGTGGCACCGCCAGACCCAGGGCACCCTGGGCTGATGTCACCTCTGCCTACCACACGGGGCTCTGCCATGTGGACCCAGCCCCTGGGAAGGAGGGACTCACGTGTCTCAGGAACCCGCGGCCCGCCGCCAAGGGACCGTGCTGGCAGCGCTCCAGCTCCACAAGGAAATGCTGGTGGTGGAAGTCGTAGAGCTTCTCCAGGTTCCCAAAAACAATGCTGCGCTTCCCTCGAAGGTCCTGGGGCAGGTCCGTTCTTTCCATTTCTGGAAAGTAGTTGTCAATGACATATCCTAAGGACCTAACATACTCCCTCTCCGTGGAAACCATCTCGGCCATTATGTGCCGCAGTCGGCTGCTGGAAGACAGAGAGGTGGGTGGACACTCAGGCTGGTGCAGCCCAGAGCCTCACTCCGGGCCTCAGGAGACCCTCAGTCAGTGTTGTTCCTGCTTCACATAGAGACAAGATGCTCTGCAAGCCCAGAGGCATACACACGATTAGACGCGGCAGGAGATGCACAGTAAACAAGAACTTTCTGATTAAGTGTTCTATTCAGCGACGAATCCTGTCACGTGTGCTCTGTTACCTGAAGTTGCTCCTTTGACGTAAATGAGTAAGATGAGAAATATGGGGGAGAGATGTGTATTAGAAAGAAACTGGTTGCATGAAACTTCTCTATACTATTGGTCACAGCCTTTTAGGATAAAAGATGCTTCCGGAAAGTGAAAAAGAGAGACTCCCAGGGCCCCTAACTTCAACCTGGAGTCCTGAGGTGTCTCATCACCAGATGGCTTGATTCCGGCGCCCTCTGCAGGGAGGGCTCTGGCAGTAGGAAGATTTTCAACACTGCAAAGAAGGCTGTGTGGGGGATTTACAAGGAGATGGTTTCTGATGAGCACAGACTGCTAACCTACCAGAAGGTACTTCTGAAAACTCAGCTTTATGTGGCCATGACGTCTGACCCAGAGGAGAAGCAGCTGGAGCTGAAGAGGCAGAGCAGGGCAGAGATGGGCAGTAGTGGGGCAGACACCTCTTCCCTGCCACGCAGAGGGCTCCCTGGGCTCCTGCTGGTGTGGCGTCCAAGCCTGGGACGTGTCTCTGCCGCACAAGGCACCCCCGGGGGGCACCAAGTAGAGCCTGACCTGCTAGTAATGAGGCACATCGCCCTTCCCATTTGCAGCACTCTGCCAGCAACGTTCCTAAATTACTCAATCCGGAGGATACTAATGGGGGCTCATAGATTTTTTTTCTGCCATTACTTGTATTTACTTGTTTGTTTTTTTGAACTGGAACACAATTAAAAGCAAGCAATGGTAGGAAATACACCTGTGGTCAGAAAGGCTGCTGAATGCATCCCATTTGCAGCTGGAGACCTTGTTCCTTTCCATACTCACATAACGGACTTTACAAATACCTATGGTTTCTGTGCAGGCAACACCTTCTGGCTAGCCGGGAGTCTGCAGCCCTCACTGCAGCGCTGGTACAGGTGGCCTGGAGGTCCCTCCAATAAACCCAAGGCCCCAGGACCCACAGCACCCCTCCTGTCAACATTTGCTGAAAACAGGCATCCTTAAATATTCAAAAACAAAACTACTGTGGTCTGGGGATTTGGAAATTGACACATGAGGACATAATGGCTAGAAATGTCTGGGGAAATGACTGCTGACCAAGTGACAGGGACTCCCTCTGGACAACAGGCAGAAGGTCTGGGTTTTCATGGAAGACCGGGTTAGTCTGATGCTCTCTCCTCTAGGCCCTGGCCTGAGGAGGACGTGCTCCCTCTCCGATGTGCTGTGGAGTCCCGCTACCACACCCTGGGTTGGTGGGTCCATGGCCTGTGAAAGGTGGAAGGGGGGACTTGTCTCCAGGGGAAAAGGCAGGACAGCTTCCCGAACCTTCTCCCTCCAGACCGAGGATGCCCACTGTGGAGGACTGGGGGCTCCGGGCAAGCAGAGGGCCCCATCCCTGCAGTCTGTGTCTCTGAAGCTTTCAAGATGAGCTCAGGGGAGCAGGAGTGGTTCCTCCGGGAGCCTTCCCAGGGATTCCAACCCCTGGGAGACCCACACAGGTGCTCCCAAATGAAGCCTTCCTGTTCCACCTAAAGTTTTGCCCTGAACAAGCTACACCGTAACCGCCTAGAGCCTGAAGCATAAAGGTGTGTTTCAGGAGAGTAGTTGGTGACCATCGCAGTTCAGAGATGGTCTCTGTATGAGGAGGAAACGTGTCCACCAACCAAACGAGCACAGAAAATGAGGATGACGCCCACCTGCAGCCCACCCCAGTCACTATAAAGACGGACTAACAGCCCAAGGGGCAGGCTGTGGTACCAGCTGAGTGCACCACCTGTCATTAGGGTTGGGCACAGTTCCTGCCCACTTTTTAATCCTAATGGTTAATAAAATATATCTTTTTACACATATCTTCTTAAAGATTAAACAAAATCATAGGGACATCTCCATTCAGGCAATGGACAAACACACATACTTCTCACCTCAGTGCTGAGAGCCTTTTTTTAAAAGTAATTTTTAAGTAACTTCTTCATATTCCAGGTGTGATTTGCTTATTGTGATTTTCCATAAATGGGCCTCAAATGATGAGAGCTAGTTGTTCAACCATCAGAGCGGGTGAGCTAGGTGCCCACAAGCCATGAAAAAGGAAGCAGTTTTCAATGATCATGCTGAACACGGGGAGGTAAGTAACATTTTGTCTAAGATCAAATGGAAGTGTGCTGCCAGGACAGGATATGGTGGACCTGGAGGGATGTTTGTGGATTTTCCACTCTGTGAAAGGCTTTGGGTCTCTGGCACCACACTGACCGCTAAGCCCAAAGGCTGGAGGGGGTCCACCTCACCTTCCTGCTTGCCTCCTCCTGTCCTCCTCGGAGGGATGGATCCTGGAGGGAGAGGACAGACGCCGGCTCCGAGTGACCAGGGGGCTCTCAGCATGTGGCCGTGGTGGGGACTGCTTCTCGGAGGCCACGGTGCTGGTCACCTCTAGGCCCCTGATGAAGACCCCAGTGTGGCCTGGCCAGGGGGCATCCCTGGGGCCACTGTCAAGCTGTGCAATCTCAAAGCTTCGTGTTTTCCTCATAATTTTCTTCAGGGGATGTTTCCTGGGGTGGGTGGTGGGTGTCTGGATGGGCGTGGAGGAGCAGGTGAGGCTGTCATGTGGGGAAGGCACACCTGGGGCCAGGTGCTCACCCTCCTGCCTGCTCAAAGAGGCTTGTCCAGGGAGGCCAGCCAGCAGTTGGGCCCGCTCCTCAGCACAGCCCTCTGGGTCAGCGGGGGGCGTCCAGGATGGCTCACAGTGCCGCCTCTCGGCTGCCTGTGCAAGCTCATGCTTCAGGGCTCTCTGGTCCAGAGGTGGGGTGCCAGGGTCTGGGCTAACCCCAGATGGGGCCTCTTGGAAGCAGAGGCGGGTCTGCGGGCTCTGCAGCCCTAAGGTGTGCCTCTGATGCGGCGTCCGCTGGCTGCCCAAGCCTGCCTCCACTGCGCTGGCCCCGGGGAAGCCCTGTGCAGTCAGCTCTGTGGCCTCCCGGTGACAGCTCTCCAGATACTCAGTGACTGGCTCCGGGCCCAGGTACTCCAGGCACTCACTGCACTGCTGCATCCATCCATCCACCTGCGTGGCAAAGGAGGGCACTGGTCAGGGCAGTGGAGGACTGTCTCAGCCACCATGGCCTTGACAGCCCCACCCAATCTCATGTACCTGATGAGCAGCTCAAGTAAACCTGCTCTGCAGGTACCCCAGATCAAGGACCAGGGTGAGCCAGATGGCCAGAGCAAGAGGAAGACCCCTCCGCCCACAGAGGCAGCTACCAGCCAGACTCGCCCCAAGGGCAGGCAAGATGAGTTTGCACCTGAGCCCAGTGGGGTCTGAATCCTCCACGGCCCCCAAGAACAGCAGGTGGGGCTGTCCCAGGGCCGTGAGATGCCAGGCTGGACAGACCATGAAATCAGTTAGTCCACACTTTGGCCTGGTGTGGGAGGCCATGACAGTGGGGCAGAGAGTTCCTACCCCTACGCTGGCCTTCCCTGAACCCCTGGATTCCATTAAGAGGAGCCGTGCTGCTGGGGGCTCTGGGGTGCAGGCAACTCTGGGGTGCTGGTGAGTTTGCAGGCCTGTGCTGGGCTGCAGCGACTGTCCTGGGGTCTCTGGCAACAAGTGGACTTTAATAGCAGAGCTGGTAAACACAGAAAAGTTCACGTGTTCATTTTGCTTGTCCTTTGGGACAATGAATAAATTCCTCATACGGTGGCTGAGAGCCTGGGGAGTGGTGCCGGGGTGTGCTGGCCAGGGAGGGTGGGCTCCCTCAGGCCTGCAGGGACAACGCTCACTGAATGTCCATAGCACATACAGATCCCCTGGAGGCGATTCCATTGGGTCTCTTAGCGCCTCGTAGAGGTCAGACAGGTGGGCCCATTGGGCCAGTACTCCCTCCCTGCACTCAGCCTGGCTGGCCATGGTGCTCAGGCACCTTTTGAAGGCCCAGATCGCTTCCTCTGTGCCTTGGGAGCTGTTCTCCACCAGCTGCGGCCTTTTCTGACAAGACTGCTGTAGCCCAAGGAACAAACTACCAGCACAAGCCCGGTGCTTACTCTCTTTTTCTATGTGTGTCTTCCGGTGTGGACACACCATCAGCCTGTTGTGGAAGGTCTAGAGCTCCCATCACTGCCACATGTTCTCCAGACACAGCAGCTCCAAGAGCCCAAGGATTTCTCTCCTCTTTCAAACCACAAATTGATCTATATAGGAAAGGAAGGCTTTATTTTTAAATGTGTGAAGGAGTCTGGTTCTATGATCGTGGGGGACAAAGGAAGCATCAGACACCACTTAGGGGCTGGCTTAACTGGTTCCCACAGCCCACACAGCCGTCCCGATGCAAACAAACTGCGTGCTCGAATATACTGTAAGTGGCTACACAGCAATGAAAGCCACACTGTCTTGAGATCTGTAACCACTGTTTTTACCTACATGCCCCTTTCAGTCTGTGGATGGTTGAAGAGGGATGACCACAAGTCTCCATGGCCGAAGTGTGCAACTGGGCAGGCTGTTCGCAGGAAATGCAAATTAAAAACTTTCTGTTTTGAAACTTGTTACTATGCTAAATATACCCCAGAAATATTCTTCGGGTGGTGGCACTAGGGTACTTGGGGACAGTCTGGAAGAGCTGGAGGGGCTGATGGCGGCCCTGCCTACCCCACACGACTTCCCGTGGGGACATCACTCATTCACAGTGAACACGTCAGGGGTTAACACTTCATTTTCATGCAAGTTCTCGTTGGATAGCAATGACAGGGAGGCCTGGTTGTAAGGGACCCAAGAAGAGGTTTTTAACAATGCAGTGATAGGGCTGGATCTGCAGCCACAGAACTGTACTTAGTGACCCTCATGCACAGACAGAAGACAGAGAGCAGAGCACATACTCTGTGGACAGAGTCATAGAGAAAAATATCAAATCTGGGTTTTTACAAACACCAGCAGCCTGACAGCCTCTGGGTAGAAGAGTAGGAAATGGTCAACAGAGCAGGGACCTCTCAGGGGTGGAGTCCCACCTCTAATCTCATGAAAAAAGTTCTAGCTGGTTTCAAGATGTAAATGGAAAAATTCAAACCATAAAAGTCTTAGGATAGAATACATTAGTCGTTCTGTGACCTTAAGGTAGAAAAGGTCATTTCAATCATAAGCAAAATTGAAGGACAATGACAAACTGAGGAAAATATTTGCCATATAACCAGAGGGTCAGTGTGAGTAACATGCATAATAGTGAAACTTCTGAGCTGTGGAAGTTGGTCAATGTGTGGAAAAGTCGTTTGTTAGAGAATAAATACAAAAAACCCACAGACAGTTGAAGAAAAAGTTCAAATGTAGCATAAAAACTCCAAATGCAGTGATTAGGGACTTATTTTCCTGTCAGTAAGGAAGGGACGCTCTTAAGGCTGCTGCTGAGAATCTCAACTGGGCAGGCTGCTTGCAGACCCATTTGGCAAATGTGTAAAAACCTCAGAAACGGCGAGTCCTAACCCAGCCATCCCAACCCTAGGAACCTGTCCAAAGCAAACAATCACAAAGTGTGAAAGATGCAGGCGCAGTGATGTGTACAAGGGTGAGAAACAGGAGAGCAGGAGACTTGAGCCAGAACCGAAGGAACACAGGGAGGTGCAGGCCTTCACACACCACCGTGCTTGCTGGCCATCCTGGGGACCCAGGCTCGGGATGCCCTGGCAGTGGCCATCCCCACACCCTGACTGCCCCAAGGGACACACAGTCCTTCAGAGAAGGCCTCCAGACACTTCTGACCTTGCCCTACACTGACCACTGGCTGTGCCTGGGCTCCTGCTTCACACATTCACTTTTATGGGAATAGCGGTTGATAAAAGCATAAGGATTTAACTAGAAATATGTGCAAACTTTTGAAAAGCTTTTATATGCATATGTATATGGAGAAAAGTCTGGATTATAATATACTGCAATAACAGTAGTTACTTCAGGAGCAGAGTTTCAAAATGTCTTTCTCCTTTGGCTTCTCTGGAATACTTACCTGGCCTTGTCCCTCCTGGAGCATCCTCCCTTCCTGTAGCCTCTCCAGCTCCTGCAGACACCTATTGGAGGCGAGGACAAGCTGATGGACCTCTTCATCCACTTGGTTGTACAGCGTGGAGGCGACCTCAATGGCATCCCTGGAAGAGAAAGTGTCAGAAAGCCAAATCCTGACCTCTAGTTGTTTAGAGGCAATCACCTGAGGAATATGCAGTCGGTGAGAACCTCGTTAAAAAAGCACAACTGCACTCTTTGCCTCCCTTCCATCTGACACAAACGGAAGGCTCCAAGGAAGATATGCCTGGAGCCACAGGTGCCCGTGCCTCAGAGGTGGTAGGGAAAAGTGAGCATGTGGGCATGGCACCCCAGGACAGAATTAGACAGAGAAGCATTCGATCGGGACCTCTGACGAATCCCATTATGATGAGTTTTGCCTTCCACTTGAGCATTCCAAGGAATCTGCTACTTTTTTTGGAGGATACAGATATAGATAGGCTCCAGTCCAAAGTGTGCCCATCAGAAAGAACAGAGGTTTGGACCCCTGGGAGACGCTGCATGTGAGAGAAATGGGCATCACCCCTGGGGTGGGCAGCCCCAGCATGACACTCACCGGCAGTCTTGGCTGGTGCCAAGCTGCTCCCTCCTCAGCTGCGCCAGCACGGTACCACCCTCTAGCCGGAGGGCGACCAGCAGTGCGTCTTCCAGCACACAATTCATTGTTGCTTTATGCTTGCTGATTAAGTCTGTGACCTCCTGCGTGGAGTGGGAGAAGCATGCATAGAACCCTCCCCTCCATGGGGAGTGTTAGGTGTGACCTGCATTCCTGTGTTTATCAATCAAGCTGAGAGTAGGGTGCCATGGCCGAACCCACACTTGACACCTGTCGCAGCAGGGAGGTAGTGGAGTCCTAGATGCTCTCACCCAAGAGATGGGTGAGATTAAGGAGAGGAGAAAGGAGGGAAGTTTGAAAGTTGACAGCAGGAGGAAAGCCTGGCATTTGGACAGGGATGTGTGGACCTTGCCCACATATCCTGTAAACCCTGAGGTGTCTCCAGCCCCAGGTCTCCAGGCTGCTGATTTTCCTCCAGCCAGTCCACCTCTGTGTCACAGCAGTAATTACTCAGGCCTCGGTGGCACACCAACAAATGCAGTGGTTGTGGTGGTATTTCTCTTCTGGGCATGGTGGGATTTTTTTTGTTTGTTTGTTTTGGTCATGGGGAAGAAGTGGTCTTTTGGAAGTCCTTTGCTAATTGAAAGGAATTTACAAGTCAAAAAGGGTTTGAAAATTTCTGCTATGGATGATAGATTTGGCTAAACCTCTATGTTCCCACCTACCTACCTGTGAAACAAAATAAAATACAGAAGAACCTACCTGTACTGTGCTTAGAGTCCTGTGGGTATTCAGGGAGTGGACTGAATTTTGTAGGAAAACAATGGCATTCTCGCAATTTGTGGTGAAGGGCTCCAGCTTCTATCATGGTGGGAGAGGTAGGAGATGACAGACACACTGTTAGTATCCACAGAAGCGCTGGGGAGCAGCACCCTCCCTGCCCAGAGCTGGACTTCAGCAGCACTCCCAAGCCCGCCACAGTGTGGCTCTCCAACAGCCTGGGAATGGCAGCTGTGATGGGCATGACATTCGGGGCAGGGACACCTGTTTCAGGTGTGAGTAAAAACATCTGCATAAGGAGAAGTCCCAGGAGACTGGCAGGTGCAGCGGCTTTACCTTACCCTACGGAAGCAGATCCAGTCACTGTGGCTGTAGGAAAAGGAGCCATCGAGGTCTGCGGTCAGCTGCGAGCTGTCAACAAGCTTGTGCAAGGCCTTCAGGGAGCCCACCACCTCACACTGCCAAGGAGAAGCATTCACTGGTTACGGCCACAGATGCATCCATCAGAAAGACCACTGTGATGGCTCACTCCAGGGAGAACTACCACCGAGAGGGTGGAGAGACAGGTTTAGGGTCCAGTGACCCTGCCTTGCTGGTGGCATTAGTGGGCTGAATGTGGTTGGGTACAGAAATGAAGTTGGGGAGAAGTGAAAGGAAAAGGTAGCAAAGAGAAATGACAGAAAGGTTCCAAATAAGACCAAAAAATGGAAAAATTGAAAAGGGAGAGAAGGCAAGAAGATAGGGGAGGAAGGGAAGAAGAATAAATCAAGGATGTGCTACCCCGAGATGGCAGAGTTGGCCCTGCCCAGACAACTTGGGACGAGGTAGGACAACAAGCACCTGAAAGCTCCAGAGGGCAAACAAGGTCAGGCTCACTGAGGAGGGCCACTGGAACATGGATGAGGGGAGCAGCATGGGGTGAGCTCTCCCTTTGCTTGGCTCTGGCCTGAAGGCAGGATGCCAACACAGGAGACTGGATTGACTGAGGCTGGTAGAAAACAGGCATCTTTCTGGCCTGAAGAACCAGAAAATAGAGCTGGGTTGGAATGTAGACATCGAGTCCCACAAGGGAGAAAGCCAGGGGAAAGGAGCTTCAATGGTGTGTAAACTGTGCCCAGGACTCTGGCTGACCCTGAACCATGTATGCATGGGGAAGACTCTGGGTAGCTAAAGGCAAAAAGAACTGAACTGGACGTACACAGGGGAGAGTTTTCAGTTTGAGTCCAACCAAGTTAAATGCATTTCAAAACAGTCCACTGTGGAGGTTTATAATAGAATCTAGAGTCAGCATAGTCAACGTTATTCAACAGAATATTCACATGTCCAGAATACAATCCCAAATTACTTGACACATGAAGAATCAGGAAAATGTGACTCATTCTCAAGGGAAATGACAGTCAACAGAGGTCAACCCAGAAAAGACCTGGATGTTGTAATTATTAGACAAGGACTTTAAAGCAGTGGTCATAACTATGTTCAATGATGTAAAGGAAAAATGCTTGCAATTACTGAAAGAATAGGAAATCTTAGTAGAGCAGAGAAAATATATGTTTAAAACCACTGGGTGTTTTATAGTTGAAAAATATAATATCTGAACTAAAAAATATCACTAGATAGGCTTAATAGCTGAATGGAGATGAATAGAGTATGGAGTTAGTAACTTTGAAGATACAGCAATAGAAACAATCTGATCTGAAGAAGAGAGAAAAAATAAGTGCGAGAAAAATGATTCTCCAAGACCAATGGGGTAAGATCACTTGGGGAGGAGTTAAGATGACGAAGTAGCGGGATGATCTTATGCTTGCCTCATCCCTCAAACACAGCTATAGGTAATTATTAAATAATTTTGAACACCCAGGATATGAATCTGAGGACTGAGAGAACAAACTGCACAACTAGCTGGAGAGAAGAGGCCACATTGTGAAAGGTAGGAGGTGCAGAGACATGTGATTTGGGGGAGAAAAGAACTGTGAGCACTGCAGAGGAGACAGAGCTCTGATCACGGAGAGAGGAAAGAAAGAGATAAAGCAGCACACAGGGAACTGCACAAGAAAAACACTTCCCCAAAACCATTGACTGGGAAAATGAGAGGGGCTGATTATTGCAAGTTTTTATACGCAGTGGAACTGAAAGTCTGAAATTTTAGAAGTCTGCACCATTGCCAGGGTCGAGCCTGGTGGACATAGTCGTGCTCCTGTGGAGAAGGGGGGGCAGAGGCCCAGGACCACAGAGCACGATTCCCTGGGTCGCACTGGGAGAGACAGTTCCCCTTCTTGGAGTGCATTTGGGAGAGGCGGCACTGCCTCTCTAGGGACAAAAGAGCCTGTGGGCACCATAGAGCTGCCCCATTCATTAGCGTAGAGCAGAAATGTCTGCTGAGGGCAGCTAACCTGGATGCTGGCTCTTCGCTACACTTTACCATAAAATCCAAGCTCCTGTGCAGTTGTGCAGCTGCTTTTCTGGGACAAAAGGCACCAGCCACAGTGTGGCGAAACCCTCCCCCAGAATACCCACTTGGTTCTGCACCATGCCAGGTCCCTAAAATTTGGAATTCTGAAACCCAGCCACAAGCCTGAGATAAAACATGGGAGCACTGCGCCGCTGAGTGGGCAGACAGCTCTGACACAGACATGGTGAAGGCTGGAAACTGATGGGAGCCTGGGACACAAAATGGGAGATTGTTTGCTCTTCTGTGAGGGTATCCTGAACAGCAGGGGTGCAAACTCCCCTCTCTGGGGAAGAGATAGGGCCAACACTATTTTTCACCCCTCCCATCAGCATGGACAGACTTCAGCAAGCGGCACAGTGCACACAGTGGAGGCTTGAGCCGCTTACACCAAGCTCTGCTCCCTGGTGCTCTGCCTTTTTAACCCTGTGCAGGTGCCTTTTTAACGACAGCAAGTATAATTGAGAGCCAGCGTAGCAGTGGGCCCCTCCCGTAGAAGACTAGCACAGATCCCTTGCATGCACCAGGTCTTCTGACCAAAGTGCTGCAAAGTTTCAGCTCTAACGGAAACAGGACTAGGCACACGCTTTCCTAATTCACAAAAGACAGAGGCCTAGACAAAATGCGAGATGGAGGAATTCATCCCAAAAGGAAGAATGAGAAGAGGTCACCGCTAGGGAACTAATCAAAATAGATACAAGTACTACACCTGAACCAGAATTTAAAACAACAATCACAAGGATACTAGCTGGGCTTGAGAAAAGCATACAAGACAGCAGAGAAACCCTGGCTGCAGAGGTAAAAGACCTAAAAACAACTCAGGCTGAAATAAAAAATGCTATAACTTAGATGCAAAACCAACTGTAATGACCACAAGATGTAATGACCACAAGAATGGAAGAACAGAGGAATGAATAAGTGATACAAAAGATAAAATTATGGAAAATAATGAAGCTGAAAAGAAGAGGGAAAGAAAAATATTGGGTCACGAATGTAGACTTAGGGAACTCAGTGACTCCATAAAGTGTAATAACATTCAGTCCCAGAAGAAGAGAGGGAAAAAGGGGCAGAAGGTTTATTTGAGCAAGTTATAGCTGAAAACTTCCCTTATCTGGGGAAGGAAACAGACATCCAAATCCAGGAGGCACAGAAAACGCCCATCAAAATCAACAAAAGCTGGCCAATACCAAGAGATATTGTAGTAAAATTTGCAAAATGCAGAGATAAGGAAAGGAAAGAATCCTGAGAGCAGCAAGAGAAAAGAAGTCCTTAACTTACAAGGGAAGACAAATCAGGGTAGCAGTAGATCTGTTCAAAGAAACCTGGCAGGTCAGAAGACAGTGGCCTGATATATTCAACATGTTGAATGGGAAAAATATGTGGCCAAGAATACTTTATCCAGCAAGGCTGTCATTCAGAGTAGGAGAGAGAAAAAACTTCCCAGGCAAACAAAAACTAAAGGAGTTCATGACCACTAAACCAGCCCTGCAAGAAATATTAAAGGGAACTCTTTGAGTGGGAAGGACCAAAAGCAATGAAGACTAGAAAGGAAAGAGAAAATCTCCAAAAACAACAACTTTACAAGTAATACAATGGCACAAAATTCATACCTATCAATAATCAATCAATAATACACTCTGAATGTAAATGGACTAAATGCTCCAATCAAAAGATGTAGGGTATCAGAATGGATTAAAAAAAACCCAAACAAACAAAAACCAAGACCCATCTATATGTTGCCTAAGAAACTCATTTTAGGCCTAAAGACACCTGCAGATTGAAAGTGAGGGGGTGGAGAACCATCTATCATGCTAACGGACATCAAAAGAAAGCCAGAGTAGCCATCTTCGTATCAGACAAACTAGATTTTAAACCAAAGACTGTAACGAGAAGAAGAAGGGCACTATATCCTAATAAAGGGGACAATTCAACCAGAAGATCAGAAGATCCAACAACTGTAAATATTTATAGCCCTAACTTGGAAGCATCCAAATATATACAACAATTAACAACGAACATAAAGGAACTCATTGATAATAATGCAATAATGGTAGGGGACTTTAGCACCCCACTTACAGCAATGGACAGATCATCTAAGCCGAAAACCAACAAGGAAACAATGGCTTTGAATGACACACTGGCCCAGATGGACTTCACAGATATATTTAGAACATTTCATCCCTAAAGCAGCAGAATACACGTTCTTTTTGAGTACACATGGGATATTTTCCAGAACAGATCACATACTAGGCTACAAATCAAGTCTCAACAAGTATAAAAAGATCGAGATCACACCATGCGTATTTTCTGACCACAACACTATGAAACTTGAAGTCAATCCCAAGAAAAAATCTGGAAAGACCACAAATACATGGAGGTTAAAGAACATTCTACTAAGCAATGAATGGGTAAACCAGGAAATCAAAGAAGAAATAAAAAAATACATGGAAACAAATGAAAATGAAAACATATGGTCCAAAACCTTTGGGATGCAGCAAAGTGGTTCTAAGAGGGAAGTATATAGCAACACAGGCCTTCCTCAAGAAGCAAAAAAAATCTCAAATACACAACCTAACCTTCCACCTGAAAGAGCTAGAAAAGGAACAACAAATGAAGCCTAAAGCCAGCAGAGAAGGGCAATGATAAAGATTCAAGCAAAAATAAGTGATAGAGAATCAAACAAAACAGTAAAACAGATCAATTAAACCAGGAACTGGTTCTTTGAAAAAAATCAATAAAATGATAAATCCCTAGTCAGACTCATAAAAAAACAAAAACAACAACAAACAAACAAAAGAGAGAGAAAGGGACCCAAAAAATAAAAGCACAAATGAGAGAGGAGAAAGAAACTCCACAGAAATACAAACAACAGAACATTATGAAAAACTATATCCCAACAAATTAACAACCTAGAAGAAATGGATAAACTCCTAACAACCTACCAAAGCTACCAAAACTGAAACAGGAAGAAACAGGAAATTTGAACAGACCCATAACCAGCAAAGAAATTGAATCAGTAACAAAAATCTCCCAACAAACAAAGTCCAGGACAGATGACTACACAAGCGAATTCTACCAAACATTTAAAAAAGAGTTAATACCTATTCTTTTCAAACTATTTCAAAAAATAAAAAAGGACAGAAAACTTCCAAATCCATTCTGTGAGGCTAGTATCACCCTGATACCAAAACCGGATAAAGATACCACTAAAAAAGAGAACTACAGGCCAGTATCCCTGAGGAACATGGACGCAATAATTCTCAACAAAACACTAGCAAACTGAACCCAATAATACATTAAAAAAATCATTCACTATGATCAAGTGGATTTATTCAATATAAAGGATGGTTCAATATTTGCAAATCAATCAGCATGAGATAGCACATCAATAAGAGAAAGGATAAAAACCATGTGGTTATTTCAATAGAAGCAGAAAAAGCATTTGACAAAGTACAAAATCCATTCATGAGAAAACCCTCAACAAATTAGGTTTAGAGAGAACATACCTGAACATAATAAAGACCATATATGAAAAACCCACAGCAAACATCTACTTCAATGGGGAAAAACTGAGAGCTTTTCCTCTACAGTGAGGAACAAGACAGGGGTGTGCAGTCTCACCACTGTTATTCAACATAGTCTGGAAGTCCTAGCCACAGCAATCAGACAAGAAAAAGAAATAAAAAGTATCCAAATCAGCAAGGAAGGAGTTAAGCTCTATTTGCAGATGACATGATACTCTATATAGAAAACCCAAAAGACTCTACCAAAAAGCTGCTAGAACACAAATTCAGTAAAGTCATAGGATACAAAATCAATGTACAGAAATCCTGTTGCATTTCTACACACAAATAATGAAGTAGCAAAAAGAGAAATTAAGGAATTAATCCCATTTATAATTTCACCGAAAATAATAAGACACTTAGGAATAAACCTAACCAAAGAGGTGAAAGACCTGTACTCTGAAAACTATAAAACACGGATGAAAGAAATTAAAGATGACACAAAGAAATGGAAAAACATTCCATGCTCATGGATTGAAAAAACAAGTATCATTAAAATGTCCATACTAACCAAAGCAATCTACACATTTAATGCAATCCCTATAAAAATACCATGAGCATTCTTCACAGAACTGGAACAACTGTAAAATTTGTACGGAACCACAAAAGACCCCAAATAGCCAAAGCAACCTTGAAAAAGAAAAGCAAAGCTAGAGGCATAATTCTGAACTTCAAGTTATATTACAAAGCCATAGTAATCAAAACAGTATGGTACTGGCACAAAAATGGACACATGGGATCAATGGAACAGAACAGAAAACCCAGAAATGGACCCACAACTATAAGGTCAACTAATCTACCAGAAAGCAGGAAAGATATCTATTGAATAAAAGTCTCTTCAGCAAATGGTGTTGGGAAAACTGGACAACAACATGCAAAAGAATGAAACTAGACCACTTCTTACACCATACACAAAAGTAAACTCTAAATGGATAAAAGACCTAAATGTGAGACCTGAAACCATAAAAATCCTAGAAGAGAGCACAGGCAGTAACCTCTCTGACATCTGCCATAACAACCTGTTTCTAGATATGTCTCCTGAAATAAGGGAAATAAAACCAAAAATAAATTATTGGGACTTTATCAAAATAAAAAGCTTCTGCACAGTAAAGGAAACAACCAACAAAACTAAAAGGCAACTCACAGAGTAGGAAAAGATATTTGCAAATGACATCTCTGATTAAAGGGTCAGTATCCAAAATAAATAAAGAACTTAAAAAACTCAACACACCAAAAAACAAATAATCCAATTGAAAAATGGGAAGTTACAAACAGACATTTTTTCAAAGAAGATATCCAGATGGCTAACAGACATATGAAAAGATGCTTAACATTACCTATCATCAGGGAAATACAAATGAAAACCACAGTGAGGTATCACCTCACACCTGTCAGAATGGCTAAAATCAAACAACACAAGAAACAACAGGTGTTGGCAAGGATTTGGAGAAAGGGGAACCCTTGTGCACTGTTGGTGGGAGTGCAGCCACTCTGGAGAACAGTATGGAGGTTCTTCAAATGGTTAAAAATACAACTACCCTACCACCCAGCAATTGCACTACTGGGTATTTACCCAAAGGATACAAAAATACTAATTCAAAGGGATATATGCAACCTGATGTTTATAGCAGCATTATCAATAATAGCCAAACTATGGAAAGAGGCCAAATGTCCACCAACTGATGAATGGATAAAGATGTGGTACATATATACAATGGAATATTACTCAGCCATCAAAAAATATGAAATCTTGCCATTTGCAATGATGTGGCTAGAGCTAGAGAGTGTATGCTAAGCAAAATAAATCAGTCAGAGAAAGACAAATATCACACGATTTCACTCACATGTGGAATTTAAGAAACAAAACAGATGAACATAGGGGAAGTGAGGGAGCCAAACCATAAGAGACTCTTAACAACAGAGAACACATGGAGGGTTGATGGAGGGAGGTGGGTGGTGGATGGGCCAGATGGGGGATGGGTGTTAAGGATGACACTTGTTATGATGAGCACTGGGTGTTGTATATAAGTGATGAATCACTGAATTCTACTCCAGAAACCAATGTTGCAGTGTATGTTAACTAACTAGAATTTAAATAAAATTTTGGAAAAAATAAAATTAGATTGTGGGAACAGCTGCACAGTTCCATGCATATACGAAAAATCACTGATGCGGTTTGATAAATGGTTTGTATGGGACATCAATTATATCTCAGTAAAGTTGTTTTTGAAAAGAAAGAAAGAGAAAGAAAACTTGTAGACTATCACTTCCTTAAATTCCAAAAAGTAAAAGTGCAATAAAGAGTGAAAAACAAAAAAAGGCCTATGGGGCGATATCAGTGTGTGTAACTGAAATCCTAGAACGAGGGATGAGAATGAGGCAGAAAAAAGCACTTCAAGAAATAATGAATGAAAATTTCCCGAATTTAGTGATAGACATAAATTTAAAAATTCAAGTTCAGCCCAACCTAAGAGGATAAAGATGAAGAGAACCATGCCTAGTCACGTTATAGTCAATGTGCTGAAAACAAAGAGAAAATTTTGGAAGTAACCAAAGGAAAGTGACACATTTTCTATAGATGAACAATTATTTGAATTGCAACAAATTTTCATCAGAAACTATGGAGGCAAAACCACCATTTTGCAATTAAAAAAACGGGGGGAGGGGAGAAAGTATGGAGGCCAGAAGACAACGGAACGACACCTTTAAAGTGCTGGAAAAACAAACGAAAACCTGCTGTAAGCCAGAATTCTTTATCGAGCAAAAAATCCTTCAAGAATGAAGGCAAAATAAAGAGTTTTTAGATAAAAGAGAAAGAAGAAGAGGATTTGAGAAAGCAAATGAGGTGGAGAAGAAAAATTAGATTTTTAAAGGTTTTCTGATATTACCCTCTTTAGGGTCCTGCAAAAACTTAAGGGATCGGTGATGGGTTTTCAGGCTCTTATATGGATGCAGCCAGAATTCACATAAGGTTTTTGCTATGTTTTATCTCATCTACGTGTCCTAACATTTAATTTTATGCATCACCCAGAGTCATATCTAACCCTGAGGGTCTACAACCATTACCTGAATTGTTCTATCCTTGTCAGGCCTAAATCCTGATTCTTTATTCACCAACAACACAATACTATGAATTATGGGAGGAGATGTGTTCTGAAATAAGAAAGAAATACCAATTAGCTTTGTAATTTTTAACTTCATTGACTCAATAGAATTGTCTAACTTTAAGGGGTGCTACTTCTGCTTTGATATTGTCCCCAAGTACCTAGAATGCATAAAATGTAACTGTCTTTGCTCTAAATGGACATTTCATCTTATAAATTTTAATGTAATCAAGTTTATTGGTTATAATTTACATATATTAAAATTCACCCTTTTAAATACAGAGTTCTTTAAATTTTGACAGAACTTCTAGTCATGGACCCACCATCGCAGTCAAGATGTATACAACAGTTTAGCATCCCCCGATTTCCTCATGCTCCTTTGCCAAGCCCACCAGCCTCTGGCGACTACTGATCGGTTTTCTCTGTCCATAAATTTGCCTTTTTCGGATATCATACACATAGACTTACCCAGTACTGGCTTCTTTCACAGTGCATTCACGATTTACCCATGCTATGGAGGCTCCTAGATCACCCCTTTCTATTGCCAAGGAGGAGCACGCAGGCACTGCAACTCATTCACCCACTCACCAGCTAGAGGACATCTGGGTTGTTTCCAGTTTGTGGCAACCATAAACAAAGCCACTATAAACTCTATGTAGACGTAAGTTTTCGTTTCTCTTGGGTAAATATCTAGCAGTAGGATTGCTGGGTCACATGGTAAATGCATTCTAACGTCTGAAGAAACTGGAGTGGTTGTGCCATTTTGCATTTCCACGAGCAATACCAAGGCCTTGCTATTGTCAAGTTTTGTTGTGTTATCTCATTTTGGTTACAAGTTGTATTTCTCCAATGACTACTGATGTTGAACATATGTTTATGTGCTTCTCTGCCATTCATATATCTTTTTTTGGTCAAGTGTGTTCAAATCTTTGCTGGTATTTCATTGGGTTGTTTGTCTTATTGCTGAGTTTTGGGATTTTGTATATTCCAGATACAGGTCCTTTATCAGATCTGTGTTTTGCACATATTTTCTCCCAACTCCTGGCTTGTATTTTCATTTTAGTGACAGTGGCTTTTGAGGGAAAGTTTTCAATTTTGATGAAGTCCACCTTGTCATGGTTTTCTTTTATAGATCATGGTGTTGGTGTGTCATAGCTAAGAAATCTTTGTCTGACCAAGGTCATGAAGATTTTCTCCTGTTTCCTTCTGGTGGTTTTGCAGTCTTAGTTTGTGCATGCAGGTCTGGGACCCACTTGTAATTTTTGTATATAGTATGAGGTATGTGTGCTCTGTTGGAGTTCCAACCCTGTTGGTTTTTGGGTTTTTTTGACATGTTTTATGACTTTAAACAAGCCTCCTTGATTTCTGTTTGCTAGAGTACATTGAGGCCAGGTCATTCAGCAATAAAATTATTTTATTTACCTAGTGCTTGCTTCTTCACTCATATTTTCTAAAGCTTTACTTTTTAAGTTTCTTGTAGTGATAAACAGATTTTAGGCTTTTTGTAATCCCCAGTGTTGATCCCCTATTTTGACTGAATAGGCCTCAGAAATAACTGATACTTTATTTGTATTAATTGTATATATTTACATTTTTGTTACGTGGCTTCTTGTGGACGACCTTCCATAAATATTCATTTAATGAATAAGCCATAGAAAAACACATAGAAAAAACATTCTTGCTTTTTTATTTGAGTCATTTTCTATTTCTCTCACCCAGTTTAGGTAAAATTTTCAGTTACCATGAATTAAAACTACACAGATTTGCAGTGTCTTATATTTCTCATATATTCCTACTTGAGTGGTTTTTTTACTATTAGGATTTGTTGCTATTGATAAGAAGATGGATGTTAGTTTTCAGATGAGTGAAAACACAGTTTGTGCCTTAGGATGAGTATCCACATCAGTGTGTAGAAGTTATGTGTTATGGGCGGGGTAGGGATGAGTAATTCTTAGCATTTTCTTCCACCAAGAAATGAAAAAATCATTTCCTTTTTGAAATGGAAAGCTTCTTATCTGAACTTTAATAATAAATTTGAAGTATAGTCACTTGAGGTAGTTATGAGAGTTCTATTTTTTGCCCTCTATGAAAAAATTTAACTACTGCATATTCCTCAGAAATAAAACTGAAAATGGAAACATGACCCTTAAATTCGGCTTATTTCCACTCCTCTCACTGGGATTACAGATCCTGCTGTTGCCTGAGCCGAAGCCAGGGTGGCGGGAGACCACCACCTGAAGAAGCAGTGAGACCTCATGGCAATCTGAACGCCAACATCCAGACGACGGAACAGAGTGGATTTGAAGTTCCTTCGAAGATTCACTTGTGATAAAAACTTAAAGATGCAGCAGGTGTTTCTCCTGCTTCTGCTCTGGGAGAAGTGTGGGTAGAGAGGGACCATCTTACTCAGGGCTCGTTCTACCGCTGTGGGACCCAAGTGGCACAGGACTTAAGGGAAGCCTGAACAAACAGAAGTGCTGGGAAGGGGTGTTCTTACAAAGAAAAAAGGTACGTGGTTCTGGTCGGCAGCTGAGGGGCTCTCGGGCCATATGTGGGGCCTGCCTGGGTCTCACACACAGTGGCCCGAGTGGTCGCTAAGCGTGTGCATTAACAGGGAGGGCTCAGTCATCTCTCTTTGAGGCTGGACACTTAATTTTCAAGTTTTTACTGGATGCCAAAGAAGTAGAAGCCACCACAGTCCTCTGGCTTCAGGAAATTCCTGCAAAGCATGCAGACATGCATCAGTGTCCTCCAGGTTGTATGAGCAAACAGGGTTATGGCAACACGCACACAGCACAGCGCAGTGAGGGAGCCCATGGACAGCTGCATGCTCGGCTTTCTTCCTGGTGCCCAAGTAACCTCCCAAGAGGCCAGTGCCATGCTGGGCATGTGTCAGGGAGTGGAGGTGGTGATACCCGTCCATGCCAGCCCCACTCTGGGTACCGGGCCTCACCATGTGCCTGCCTGGGTGCCTGCTGACGTTCCTGCCCTGCAGTCTGCACCTCGCTGCTCAGTCTGGGTCCTGAACTGACAATGCGCTCTCAGAGTTCCTCGAGCCCCTTACTGGGAAAGGTCCCCAGCGAGCCTCCATGGGACTCACAGGGCTCTGGCCACCTGCTGGCCTGGGAGGGTGTCGTCCTGGGTTCTGCAGCAACTCACTGGGTTCCCTGCTTCCCCTGAAAACAAATTTCAAGCCCTCCTCATTCCAAAACTTCTCCAGGGCAGCAATGACAAAAGTGACTGGCATGAGCACCATTTGCCAGGGCTGGCAAAGGGTGTGAGGCCTGCAGATGGGGGCTGAGAAGCAGGACCGCTCCCTCACAGGCCACCCCAGGGCTGAAGGTGGAAGAAACTGGGAGGAGAGCAAAGCAGCAGGGAGGCCGAGGAAGAGGGATGCTCCTACACGCACGCTCTGTGGTGCGCAGCACGGGCTCAGCGCTCTGGAGGGTCTGGAGGTGCGGACGGACCAGGCTGGCCGACTGGGCCACACACCCTCCTCATGGAGGTGAGCTGTTCCCAACGGGTACATGAAGTGGGCAGAATGGTTTCTAGGAATCTGGTCACAAGTTCTGGTTGCAGCTTCAAAATCATTTCAGCAACAGCAACAATTACATTTGGTTTCGAAGGCAGAAATAAAGGAAAATTGTTTTTCTTCCATGTTTATAGGGTGCTGAGACGACTGGTGTGAGGCGACCACATTAAACAGCTGCTCTGAGGGGTGTGCGTCTGAAACACAAACAAACCCCACCCTCCCGTCCACTGTGGGTACTGGGACCAGGCCTCCAGATTTAACAGCTTCCTCCTGTGAATTCACAGGACTCTGAGGAAGTCCTGATGTCACCGATGCCGCTGTCCTCCTCTGAGCAGAGCTTCCTTCAAAATCTGTTCGAAAAGCAGTCATCCCCCTACTTTCTGGAAGACTTCCAGTAACTTCCCAGTCTTTGCTGGTCTATAAAATTGCATGTGGTCAGGAAAAACCAGAATCGCAAAGGAATTTCGAAGCCCACACAGAATACGAGCATCAAACGGGATGACATCCTGGTTGCTGATTTTTGAGCCCAACAGTTGGCTGAGAGCAGGGGAAATAAGCAATAAGGGATTCATGTGCCTCTGAGGTGCTTCGTGGAAACTGAGTGTTGGCACGTCAAGGCTGTCGTTCCATGTTAGAGGTGATAACTCGGGCTTTGAAGCTATGTACTGTGAACCCTTCTGCTGAAAGCCCATTTCTCCCTCTGAAATGCAGACCTCACCACTGAGCTCGGCTCTGAGAGCCCACTCTTGCCGGGACGGCACATCTGGGTCGGCCCTTCCCCCTCAGGAATCTGCACCTTCACCTCTGTGTCGGACAGGAGCCGCACCACAGCCAGGCACCCTGGCCAGGGACGCCTACTCCTGCTGACCTGGACCACTTCTGCCTGGCCTCCCCCAGCCCCGGCCCCACTCACAGCCTGCCTGCCGGGGGCTCTTCTCTCCTTTCCCCCCACACTGTTCTCCAGTTTCTTGAGTGCATCCAGATGTGCCCCAACCTCCACCACCGAGTCCGTCCTTGAAAGAACTTCCATTTGGCATCCCTAAACTTAGGAACCTGGATAGAATGGTGACCAGTGTCTGGCACCTTTAGCAGAGACCAAACAGAGGGAACAGGTTTTCACTGAGGGAGAAGGTGGGACCCCAGGCTCCAGCACAGGGCTTGGCACATGAGGGCCCCCATATACACATGTCTGAGGGAGTGTGAGTGTTCTCAGGCTCCCACCTGGCCCTGGGTCCCTGGAGCATCCCAATGGTGACTTTCTCCCTGTTCCAGGGACTCCCCATTTCCCTCTTGATTTTACTCATGACCCAAAATCCAGGATCAGGTCTTCCTGGCGTGACTGCAAACCTGCCAGACAACCTCCCTTGACCTCGCCCCAGAGGTATGGTAGCTACCATACCTGCTCCAAGGTACAGGCCCTCCTCCCCACAGCATCCACACCTCCGTCCCTGTCTGAGAAAGTGCAGCGGGTAGCCCTGCATGGTGATTTAGTCAGACACTAGATAAGGACAGCTGTGGAGGGAAAGGGTCATGCCCATGTGGGCTGGTCCTGGCTGACCCTGCCTTTAAGGTATGCAGTGGCGACCCAGGAGATGGGCAGGAAGCTCCTTCCCGGTGACTGTGTCCGACCACGGGGGAGCACATTGTTGATGGATGCAGGAGCAGGCTCTTCTTCTGCTACTTTCCACGTCCACACTCAGGACCCTCACCTCATCCTGAGATTGATTCACAGCGGGGCTGAGTCCAGGCATGGCTGCCCTCAGCTGCTCCTGGGTCATGAGGGAGCCCTGACATGCTCGGTGCCCTGAGGACAGGAGTCACCCTGACTCACCTGCAGTGCTGCCAGAGCCTGGAAGAGAGCAGGGGCAGCTGGGCCCTTGCGAGCATCCACCAGGATGACCAGCCCCAGCTCCCGCACCTCTTTCCTGGGGAGAGAGACAGACAGTGTTAACCACTGCAGGTAAGATCTCTTCCACGACAGGCTTCTTCGTCTCTCGGTGAGACGCACCCTTTGCCCAGATGCCCTTGGCTCCACAAATTCTTGACACATATCAACCTTCTGCTTCCTGAGGACTCGAGCTGCTTACCAGGTGCAGACAGGGCAGTTGGGTTCACTGCGGTGGATCAGTCCTGTCTGATGGCCTCTCCAGGCAAGGGAAGCTGGCTGCATGCTTGTATTTGCTGCGGCTGCTTTCTCTCCCACACCACCCATCACAGAGCAGAGGCCCTGGAGCTTTCTTGTGCTAGGTCACTTGTTCCGGCTGTAATACCATGTGGAATTCTACTCTGATGGAGTGGACAAGAGCCAGACGTGGCCGGCTGATCTCAGGACTGCAGCTCCAGGCCAATCATTGGGTTTACCACATTTCCAGAGCTCAAGTGGGACAGCAGAACATCCTCTAAAGGTGAAAATACTGTCCGTTGCTTGTCACGCCCCTGCATAAAAGCTCTGTCCCTACTGTGATCACAACTGTAAGCTTCAGTTCTAAATAGGACAAAATTATTAGCTAAGGCAGGGTGATGCATCCAACCCCACCTTCTGGGAGTGGCTAATACTCTACCTCAGCCACATGTGTGGGTGCTGGTCTTGAACAGACACGCACGCTCACCCTGTCCTGCTTGCACACAGCGGGGAGAGCCGCATGTCGCACCAAAGCCACATCCTAGCCAAAAGGGCGAGTGTGCCCCACAGTCAGGGTGTGTTCAATTTCGGGTGTGACTGCTAAGGAATGCTTCTGAAGCGGGGGGTGTCTCGGGGCAGAGTAGAGTGTGGCGTTCTGGTGTCAAAGCCGGACACAGAAAAGGTGAGGCCGGGAGAAGGCCCCCATCTCACTCCCTCTCTCAGCGGGCCAGCTCTGCCCCCAGGCCTCCCCTGCCACGGAAGCCGCTTTGTGACCGGTATGGCTTGCAGCGCTGGAGTCCACATGTCTGGGAGCAGTCCCGGGCAGTGCTGTCAGGAGCTGAGCACGATACTCTACTTCCTCCAAGCGTCTTGTGTCCCTCCTGGTCCCCAGTGACCTCCCTCTTCTGACACCCCCACTCCTGGTCTCTCTTCACCCCTGGTCTTCCGTGGTCTCCCTGAACTTGTGTCTCAAGGTCTGCTTCTGGCCTCAGAGGCAGGACCGGTCTCACTGCCACACTGGCTGGTTCGGCGTGGGAAATAATCCCTGGCAGCCCCAGACCCACACGTTCTCCTCCACCGATCTCATCCACTTAGTGGCTTTGCTGAAGGGGATGGCCGCAGAGGGGGGCTGCTTCCCAAGTTCAGGACTGCTGGACCCTCCACCTGGGCTGGCTGAGAGGGATCCAAAGACTCGAGTTCAGCTAGTATAGGATTAGACGGGAGAAAATGCCCTCAGGCCACCAAGCAGGAAACCGCCCCCCCCGCCCCCCCCGCCCCCAGACCAAACTTGCTTCTCTCCGCCTGCCTCCTGTGGTGGATGGAGCTGGCTGGCTCCCCTTGTTGGGCTCCAGTGGGGCCCCTGGCCATGTGCAGATCTGCCTTAGACACCCTGGGCCTGCATTTCTGTAGAAGTCTCACACTGTGTTCCTGCATCACCCTGGCTTCACCACCGGAGGTCCACGTGGCCTTCAGGCCCAGGGCACCCACTGCCTGCACCGGGTCTTTAGTCCTCATTCCTGCCTCCTGACTCAGAAAGTGACTGGCTGCTCTGGGGCCCGTGTGCTCTTCCTTCTGCTCAGGATGTCCTTCCCTTCTTGTCTGCAAATACTCACCGTCCTCAAGGACACAGACCACATCCGGAGATCCACCCCCCCACCCACCCCAGATGAGGCTGCAGCTCCCTCCCAGCATTGTGGGCTTGTCTTACGCTGGAAGATGCAACAGTTTGGGTTCCCATGTGTGTCCCTTTGAGGGTGGGAGCCATAGCCTGTTCTTTTTGTACTCTCATGCAAGTGGTGGATGGATTCCTTCACTGCAGAGGAGGCTGGATGGATGACAGCCAAGATCCATTCTGATTTTAAGATTCTGTGTATGGGAGAATTTGATGGGAGTCCATTTACAAGGCACGCTCCCAGGAACACATGGCCCTCTGTAATACAGCTGCAGTAACCGAAAACCAGACACTGCTGGGCACTCTCCCCAGTAATTAATGCTGACACCTTGGGGACTTCATTCTGATAGCTGAAGGTTTGTGTCACATCCCACAAGGTAGGGGTAGATTTCAGTTCCTCAAGGTGCAATAATCCATCAGGAGGCTAACAAAATTACAATGGTTGTGGGGAAATAATCAGCCAAACCAGAAGGCTCCACCATCAGTTACCCTAAGTGCTTTAGGGGTGATTTCCTCAACAGAGGCTTTCCACTGGAGCTTCCCAAGCTGGTGAAGATGCCTGCCCCGGAGGGGAGTGGGGCTGTCTGAATTTTCTGTGGAAAAGGCAGAAGGCTACAGATTCAGGGGCAAGTCTTGACCCTGCCAACCGCACAGGTACCCTAACTCCTACTGTTGGTGTTTCGTCGTGGAATGGAGAGGACAGCGCTCAGCCTGACAGCTCAGCCAGGCTGAGTATGCAGAAGGGTATAAACTCCAAAAACTACAGGAGGCTTTGTCCTTGTCAATCAGGATTGCTCTCCATTACTGCCCTGAGTTAATGCTGGACGCTCCCATAAAAGAAAGCTTTTGGCAAACAGAAAATGCCATTATCTTAGTGTTTTGGTGTTCACTTGAGGCTTACAAAATATAAGCTAATGCGAGTATGAATCTGTATTTTTTTTCAGGGTATTTCTTTATATTTTGAAATCTGTGCTGAAAGATAAGTTTGAAATCCCAGGCTCACCCAAAGGCAGTAAAACCAGTGCCCTCAGATAATTGGGAACCTTGCTCTGGGAAAGGGGTGTCAGGGAGCACTCTTTCTTTTCCTGTCTAATTGTTCTCACACTGAATCTACTTATGCTATTTCAGAAGAAATTCCAACAGAAAGTTCATGCACCATAGAGAGCATGAGGTCACATGTGATGAGGCATCACATAACATGTTCCCACTGAGCTCATATCACATGATGTGCATCTTGTCACTGAGTGAGAGAACATCACGGGATGTACCACGAAGATGATGCTCTAGACTTCAGTCTACGGACTTTACACAGATTATTTCTAATCCCTCTGACACACCTTCCAGACAGCTGCTACAATCCCAGGTTATGGGGAGGACACGGGCTTACAGAGGTACACCATCTACCCACCAGTAAGGGTACAGCTGGGATCTGGAGCCAGGCTGTCCAACTTTGGAACCGAGCTTGACAGCTGGGCAATGCTCCCTCCCCTAGGGGGCTGTCTCCACCCAGAACCTCAGGGACTCTTGGTCTGGTGGCCATAAGGGTGTCCAAAGCATGCCTGCATCTGATGGGATCAAGTAGTATGAAATAACACATTTTGACCGTCCTTGACTCCTGCTCTCCTGTCTCTGTCTTCGGTCCATGAGGAGATCTGCAGCCATGCCCTGGTACACACCTGCTCCACACCTTGTCATCATGCAGGACCCAGGTGGTGTGGGTTCCTGGAATTCCATGTCAGAGAGGGTAGGTCTCTCTTAAGGAGCTGGCATGCTTTCTTCCTGGCACACGGCATTGCTGGGCTGAACGTAAGGCTCACTTACGTAACGTCAGACTGAATCAGTCATTGTTGCTTCTGGGTACCAGGTACTACTCATTTGTATGAGTTCTTGACCCACTTATTCTAAATATTCTGTTTATATCAGTTAGGTCTTTATCCAGAAAGAGGTGGAGTATAAAAGATACACATATATAACACTTAGAGCATTAACGAACGCAGAGCAACACAGAACTCAAGGCTAGAGTATGTGTCAGGGCCTTGATTCAGTGGGGAGAGGTCAGGGTGAGCAGGAGGAGAGGAATGCATGCGGACAGCTGATGGACCTGGAAAAGACTGCAGGAGCCTGAGGGGCAGGTGGGAGCCTGCTGCCCATGCCACCGGGGGTCCCCGAGGTTGCAGACAGAGACCCTCGCACAAGACGCAAGCTTGCAGAGGTTTATCCCCAAAGGTCTGAAAGGTAGGAACCTGGCTCTGTCCCACCTGGGAATGCCGTAGAAGTACTCCAACAGTTGGGTCAGCTCGATGCTGGAGGTGTGTTTGCTGGACCAGACCGGGCCCCTCGTGCAGACCTGCACCACTGCTCTTCCCTGGTGGTCTCGGGTCCCTGAAGAAACAGAGGGCATCGTGAGGGGGCAGCCCCAGTGGGGACATGCATGGCTTCAAGCCTGAGAAATACTGAGCTAGGGTCTGCAAACTGTTGAGGTGTTGGCTTAGATGTGAGATCTGCCAGGAGAGGAGGGGCTGGTACTCACCTGGACAGGAGAGCTATGCTCAGCTAAAAGGGCGATGGGCACTGCTGTGGCCTGAATGTTTGTGTTCCCCCCAAATCCTTATGTTGAAACCTAACCCCCAGTGTGGGGGTACTAGGAGGGGGGCCTTTGGGAGGTGCTTACGTTATGAGGGTGGAGCCCCATGAATGGGATTCATGCCTCTTACAAAAGACCCCAGATGCCTCCCTCACTCTTTCCACCATGTGAGGACACAGTAAAAAGGTGTCAACTATGAACCAGGGAGAGGGGCCCTCACTAGAACCTGACTGTACTGGCACCTTGATCTTGGACTACCAGCTTCCAGAACAGAGAAATACATGTCTGTTGTCTAGAAGGTATCCAGTCTCTGGTATTTTGTTATACCTGCCCAGAGTAAGACGGCCATGCTCACCTGGGAGGGTGATGACCCCGGACTGCAGGAGCTCCTGGCTGACCTCCAGCACCTGCCTGGGCATCTGACTGGGCATGTCTCCTGTGCTGGGTGGCTGTCCTCCTCCCTTGGGGCACAGTGGCTCAGCAAGCACATCTGGAATCTGGCCAGGATCGTGCCCTCGGAAGGTGCTGCTGTCTGTGTCACCACCAGCTAGACAACAGAAAGAGACCTGGTCAAAGATGGAGGGTTTCTCTGGTTTGAAGGCAGCTACTCAGCTTGCCATACACACAAGGAGAAAATCATGAGTGAAAATACTGGGTGCCATGAGAACTTGTCCCATTTCTAGTGGAAAACATCAGTGTGTCACACCTGACCTAACAGGGGCATTCCTGAGCAGTAGGGCATGAATAAACACATAAAAACTGAACATTCCAGTTGCACCAAGAGTGCTCACTACTTAAACACACTTCAGGGAGAAAATTTTTATACTGAATAATGTCATCCTAATTTATTTTTTCATACAGATTTCCCAAAGAGTGTCACAAAAATATATCCACAAGGGGCGAGAGCACCCTGAGGGCAGGCAGCATCATAGTTGGGTGTGCCTCCCCCTCCTGCATCACCCAGAGAAGGGGGACCGGGCTCCTCCGCATCACCCGAGAGGGGGGGACCTGGACCTCCTGCATCACCCCGAGAGGGGGAATTGGGCTCTCCTGCATCACCCAGGGAAGGGGGACCTGGACCTCCAGCATCACCCAGAGAGGGGGGACCTGGACCTCCTGCATCACCGAGAGAAGGGGGACCTGGACTTCCTGCATCACCCAGAGAGGGGGAAGCAGGCTCTCCTGCATCACCCAGAGAAGGGGGACCTGGACCTCCTGCATCACCCAGACAGGGGGGACCTGGACCTCCTGCATCACCCAGAGAGAGGGGGAAGTGGGCTCTCCTGCATCACCCAGAGAAGGGGGACCTGGACCTCCTGCATCACCCAGAGAGGGAGGACCTGGACCTCCTGCATCACCCAGAGAAGGGGGACCTGGATCTCCTGCATCACCCGGGGAGGGGGAAGCAGGCTCTCCTGCATCACCCAGAGAAGGGGGACCTGGATCTCCTGTATCACCCTGAAGGGGAGGGCTCATGTTCATGCACCAGCTTGGAGACAGCAGTGGCTGAGGCTTGTGGGCTCGCTCCTCAGCCCTGTCTTCTACACTGCACTTCACAGGGGATAAGCCATACCACAGACAGAGCAAGCCGATTCAACCCCCTAGCCTTGCAACCCCCAGGGCCTGTGTTGCCCCACTGAGGGGAAAGATGGTCTTGGCCAGAGCTAGTTGGCACCTAAGACCCTGTGGGGCACCCTGAACCAATCCGGACTTTGCTTTCCTGTCCCTTAGTCTCTTCCTGAACTTCTTACAGGGCTAATGTCTTATAACTCTCTTAACAGCTCTCATTCTAGCTGGACCAGAAAAGCCCACAGCATTCTTTATACATATATTTTTAAAAAAACAACTTTGGGGTGCCTCAGTCAGTTAAGCATCTGACTCTTGATCTCAGCTCAGATCTTGATCTCAGGGTCATGAGTTCAAGTCCCATTTTGGGCTCCACATTGGGTGTGGAGCCTACTTTTAATTTAAAAAATAAAATAAAACAACTTTATTAGGTATATTTTATGTATAATAAAACTCACTCATTTCAAGTATATAATTAAGAGGATTTTAGCAACTTTACCAAGCGGTCCAACCATAACCATAGGTCAGTTTTAGAACATTTCTATCCCTCCAGAAAGACCCCTCCTACCCTTGGCAACCACCTGTGTGCTTTCTGTCCTGGATGCTTTCTGTCCTGGATCATTCATACAAATGGAATCAGACACTATGGGGTCTCTTGTGTCTGACTTCTTTCACTCAGCACAACTGCTTTTGAGATTCACCCGACTTCTCCTGGGTCAGAGTGTCATTCCTTCCATGGGTCTCACCCCACTGTGTGGTGGACCACATTTTGTCTGTCCCTTCACCAGCTGATTGGTTACAACTGCATAGTGTCCTTGAGAATGAATTTTTTCATGTATGTTCAAATATTTTCTAGAATACATCAGCACCATTGGTAAAATTTTGGGGTTCCCAAGTGTTCTAATGTTTTAATTCTACACTGACCTCAAGCTTCCTCACATGGATGGGGGGAGCAAACAACACATTCACGTGTTCTTTTCTTATTAGAAGTCTTCCTAGTTGAGGAGGTCATTCATGTGGGCTTTTCCTGAATTCAGCTTGCAGACTGTGGGACAGTGAAAGGAGAGGTCTGAGGTCCTGGGGGCTACGGTATTAAAATGGCTAGGAATAAAAGCAGTACCCTCATGTGGCTAATCAAGAAACAGGTGCTCACTTGCTGCTGGCTGAATGAATATGATATTCTTGAAATAAACTGAAATGTCACATTTAGTGTTTTGAAATTAGGTTGATTTTACGTTCGAAGAAGAGACAAAACAAAGTCTCAGGAGCTGGAGCAAACTGGAACAGAGGAAAGCAAGTTCGAACAGAAAAGGAGCTGGAACAGAGGAGAATCAGACGGAACAGGAGGAGTAGCTGGAACAGAGGAGGAGCACCTGGAACAGAGGAGAACCAGGTAGAACAGGAGGAGTAGCTGGAACAGAGGAGGAGCACCTGGAACAGAGGAGAACCAGACAGGAGGAGTAGCTGGAACAGAGGAGGAGCACCTAGAACAGAGGAGAACCAGACAGAACAGGAGGAGTAGCTGGAACAGAGGAGGAGCACCTGGAACAGAGGAGAACCAGACAGAACAGCAGCATCTGGAACAGAGGAAGAGCAGCTGGAACAGGAGGGGTAGCTGGAACAGAGGAGAACCAGGTAGAACAGGAGCGGCAGCTGGAACAGAGGAGGAGCACCTGGAACAGAGGAGAACCAGACAGAATAGGAGCATCTGGAACAGAGGAAGAGCGCCTGGAACAGGAGGAGTAGCTGGAACAGAGGAGGAGCACCTAGAATAGAGGAGAACTAGACAGAACAGCAGCACCCGGAACAGAGGAAGAGTGGCTGGAACAGGAGGGGTAGCTGGAACAGAGGAGAACCAGATAGACCAGGGGCAGTAGCTGGAACAGAGGAGAACTAGACAGAATGGCAGCATCTGGAACAGAGGAAGAGTGGCTGGAATAGAGGAGGAGCACCTGGAACAGGAGAGGAGAACCAAGTAGAACAGGAGTGGCAGCTGGAACAGAGAAACAATGTTTGTGCTGTGGACAAGTGAGTGTGCTAATTGTTACTTGTTCAACTTAGGTCTCAGCAGGATGTTCCAGCTGAGGCATTTTCCTATGTTGATGAGGACATGAGTTCTAGGGCCACACCACAAACTGCACTCCAGGGACAAGTGTGTGTCCAGGTAGCAAGGATGGAGGAGAATGCCTGTACCAACAAGCCACTGGCTACTCACTGGGTGACCAATGGTCGAGGCCCTTCTGCCCAGGCCTCTGGTGCCACTGCCCAGCTTCTCGTGGGTGGAAGCAGTGTTCTCTTGTCCACAGGCTCAGTCCTTCTTCCATGGCTCTGGACAGTCCACAGGAGGGGACACAGGTGGAGGAAGGGAAAGAGTGCTCTTGGGAAGGGAACTCCCCACTTCAGGTGAGGGAGACGAGCCTTCTCTCCCCACCAACCCTCCGTGCTAACTCATGCATAGTCGCTGGAGCTGAGGCAGAGCCCACCGGGGACCCCAGAGAAAAGGCTGCTTGAGAACAGCACGTCTCTGACAAGACTGGCATCCGCAGGGGGTGCTCTGTGATGCACAGGGAGCCAGCGGGCCAAACCTGGCTTCCACTTGGCAACACTGGTTTGTGTGAGTCAAACCCACTGCCTCCATGACTGCCAGGGATCCTGCTTGCAGTCGAACCTGTGTGTCCCATGCTGCCACACTGCCCAGGGACGCTGTGCCTGAATGTCCACGGGCGGCATCTGCACAGGTGGCAGTTCTCTGTAGAGACACGTACTTAAGGCTGACCCCTTGCTGAGATGAGCTGCAGACATGAGTTTTCACATCCAGCGTGTGTGTGACTGTGGTTTAGGCCCTGGAAACAATGTTGCTGTATTTTAATTTTAACTGAACTGTAGAATGTTCTTAAAAAGTGCTAACCCTAAGCCAATAATTTTATTATAAAACTTTTTGTGGTAAGTCGGTGTGTGCTCTATGCTGTACGGACCCTGTCAGAATTTCAGACAGGAGCAGGCACCCTCATTTCGGAAGCAGCAGGCCCATCCAGAGGTGTGAGCAAGTCCCTCCTTGGGCCAGGTGGGCGGGCCAGATGTTGCCCAGGTGAGGAAGCCACAGTTTCTTCACTGTGTCGGATGCTGGGGCTAGCCTGCCTTCTGAGGGTTCCTGTTCTTCACTTCCTCCAAAATCACTGCTTTTGTTCTTCACAGAACATTTCTTTATTCAAAAACAGGAAATATTTGACCTAAGAAATATGCTGTCATTCCTTCCATTTCATTCCTGATGTCCTGCAAACACTCTTTAGACAATCATGTTTTCCCTCCAGAGCAATATGGGAGACACTTCCAGTAGTTAGGAAGTAGTTCAGCACGTTTTGCAGGCCGTTGAGGTGTGTGTAACTCAGGGGCTGGTGTTATTAACCATGAGCATAGCATCCAACTTACCCATAGGAAAGGAGTATTAATGCAATGTGGTGGGGTGAGTGGTGACCCCAAAAGGACAGGTCTACCCAGAACCTGTGAATATCACCTTGCTTGGAAAAGGGTCTTCGCAGATGTGAATACTGAAGCGTTCGGTGGACGCTGAATCCAAAGATAGGTGTTCTTGTAAGAGAAAGGAAGGTGTGACACACAGAGAGACATGGGGAGAAGATGTTTGGACGGGGGGAGCCCCCTGCCGCTGGAAGGACCCTCCCCTAGAGCTTCTGAAGGGAGCACAGCCCTGCCAATGTCTTGATGTCATACTTCTAGGTCATACGGGCCCCAGAACCAATGGGATAAATGTCCGAAGTCACCCTGTCTGTGGTATTTGCTGTGGCAGTCACAGGAACGGAGCCCATGTGACCATTATTTTCAACAGTCAATACGGATGTGGACACAGGCTTCTCCTCGGTCGACTGACCAGAGGAAAGACACACCTGGCAAGGAGAAGGGAGGAGGGGAAGGAGTGGGGGAGGGGCACGGGGACAGGGTTGGGGAGGAGCAGGAAGGGTTGGGGTGGGACATTACCTGGACTCTCCGCTGTGGTGCAGGGGTTGCAGCTGGAGCCTGCACTTCTGGTCCCCTCAGCTTGTCCTCCTAAGAGGCCTCCCAGACTGGTGCTGACTGAGTGGTGGGAGGCCTGCCGGGTGTCACCTCGCCAGCTCCTGAGGGACCTGTCCCAGGACCGAGACCTCTGGGGAAGAGTGCTCCTTGTGGCTCCCGGACATTTTTCCTGACTTGGGATCTCTACGGAGCCTCCCCAGGGGCTGGGTGTTTCCTTCTGGGTTGGGCTGGCTGCTGCCCTGGCCGCCGTGGTCTGGGAGCTGCAGGCCTCGTCCCCAAGAGACTCTTCGGAACTGGAGCCCAGGGGCATGGGGTTCCGCAGGGCCTCCATGTAGGACTTCCTGAACCAACGTCTGGCCTCCATGCTGGCTGAGTCCCTGGGCAACTGCCTTCTGGAGCTTGGACTGCCCATGTCCTCACAGACAGTGAGGGCCTGGGGGCTGTCCCTTTTGTCTGTGGCATCCAGGCTCCCTCTTGGTCCTTCCCGTGGGCCCAGCTCTGAGGACCCAACCCCGACAAGGCCTCCGTCAGAGCTCCCAAATGGGCTCCTAGGGCCTTCCCACCCAGCTCTTCCTGGGGAAGGTTGGTGGCTGGGCTGGTCACTGCCAGGATGCCTATGGCAGTGGGGCAGGGTTGGGGTGTTGCTGGAAGGGGTGGTCTCCTGGGGACGGGTGTTGGCCACGGCTGGTGCTGGGGCCAGAGCTTTGGAGATGCTTCTGGGGGATGGCTGCTCAGGCCCAGGACAGCTGCAGTGGGGCAGGACAGTTCTGAATGTCGGTACAAAGATGGGGTCTGTGACACTGCTCCATGGGGTGCGGAAGACCGCAGAGCCTGAGGTCAGCAAGCAGTTTTGTAAGGGGACACTGTTCCGCTCCCCGTTCAGCCATTCTAGGAACTCTCCCGTGAAGACGCAGCCGTACATGGCCTCAGGGACAGTGACTTCTTCCGAACCTCGTCCACTCTGGGAGAGGCATTTTAAAACCAATCTGGCTGACTGCTTCCCCACTGATGTGACCTGCAGGTAGAAGTCCCCAGGCCTGAGCCTGACTCCACGGAGGGACACCAACTGCACCACCACCTTCTCATCGATGCACAGTGGCCAACCTTCATGGAGGAAGATGAGGCCTGTGTACCTGGCCTGGGACGAGAGAGGGAGGGAAGGAGATGAGACCTCTGTGGTAGTTCCTCGTGAGAGGCCTGGGGGAGGTGGGCGATGGGACCGGAGGGAGGAGTCCATGGAAGGAGCGGTCCAGGTCGTCCCACCACAGGCAGCCTGGGGGCTCTGGGGAGAGTCTCTCCTAGGAACTGTCCCCACCTGGGGAAGGGGCTGGGCCTTCACACTCCCTCCACACCAGCCCTTGGTCTAAGCTCCACAGCACTTCCGGTTTTCCCAGGTGTCCACAGGCAGCCCCCCAAGAGGAGGGCTACTTCCGGAATCGCAGGGTCAGGGGGCACCAGGAGAGGGTGGCGGGATCTGTCTGGACACTAACAAGATCGGCTACAGGCTCCCACCCAGTGCGATGGGGCCCTTCTACTAATGTGAAGGGGCCCATGAAGTCTGCAGCTCAGGTGTAGAGTATGTGGGGGAGTTGTGAAGCACATCTTTGAAAAGAACCTGCTGTAGAAAAGGTTTAGACCGCAGGACGGCTAAAGACACAGGCAAACACAAGCAGCGTCTGGCATGGGCATGAGAATGTCCAGCAGTTTGAGGAACAAGAGGTGGGACCCCGACATGTCAGAAGCGGCAGCTGCAGATCCTAGCATGGGACCATGTTCTACCGTACCAGTTCAGTTACCATATACCGTGCTTCTCTCCACTGTAGCACTGACTTATTGCACAAACATTCTTACCGTGATAGAGGAAATGAAAAAGAACCTCATTCTGATACATCTCAAGATCTGTGACTTTTCTTTCCCTTATCCATGCAAGACAGACTGCTCTAACCCACAGTAACAATGTAGACACAACTTGGGTGTTCAGCCAGCATCTTCCCAGGTTCCTCTCTCATTCTTGCTGTCCAAGTGGCGACTTACCAGTCCTCTGGGGTCAGAGATCTATCGTGCTTCTACCTCTTTCTATTATAAATAGTAGATGCAAGCAATGTTTCACTTTCTTTTGTTACCATTTCTTTTCCCTTTAAATTATTGTTTTAGGAAACATTCCTGGGATTAGGGTTAAGGATAAAAGATCATGAACGTCTTCCATGATTCTTGGCAAAATGACAAATCTGCCATCAAAAGACACACTGTCAGCAGTGATGAGCCACTGTGACAGTTTTGCCAGGATTCAGTGGCATGAGGCTTTCCACTGAGGAATCTTACTCTAAATTAATATATATATATATATATACACACACACACACACACACACACACTGTGGAACACTGTTGTTTTAAATCGCACCTATGTGTTCATGAAGCCAACCCCTTTTTTGATATTTGTTTCTTTTCTGTAAAATTTCTGTATTTTTGTTCCTTTTATGAACTGTGGCCTTGTTTTTGCCTTCTTAGTGCTGTGAGGTTTTTAAAAACTTGAACAAGACAATAATTTTTGCCCTCACCATTAGCAAATGTTTGTCTGTGTTATGTATCTACTAGCTGCTTATGTTTGTCCCAGTTTACTTGCTTTTTCATTATGTTCCTTTCCTCTCTTAAATTTCAAACAAGTTGAATTTCTTGACTTTTTTGTGATATCTTTTCTCTCCTTAAAACTTAGAGTTTAAAATCTTACTGAAGGTTGTCTTTTGCGTTTATTTTATATTAGTTTTCCTCAGAGTTGAGGTCTAGAAAATACTTAATGTTTTCATACATCTGGATTTGGAAATTGTACCTTAAATACACTGGTATGTTCCTAAGAGCCAAGGTCTCATTAATGGGGTTCCCGCTATGCACTCACCCTGGGCCACAGGAAGGGGGCACCGTCCAGCCTTCCAGGAGCCCACAGCCTGGGTTGGGGGTAGGGTCTGGCACAAAAGAAGCTAGTAGTTACTGGGCACCTGTGGCCATGCTTAATTAAAAATTAAGATTTTCAAATTGGAAAAATAATACCTGTGCATTGCAAAACCTGGAGGATTCAGAAAGAAAATAATAATCCCAACACCAACCCCCAGAAGTCAGCATTGTTAACATTTATGTGTGTTTCATCTCAATATTTTTCCAGTGTATTTCTAATGGTTGAGATCCCATCATAAAAATACAACAGCATTTTCTGCGCTATGAGAAACTCTTCATACAGACCATTGTTAGAAATGCCCCCCCTCCAGTTTTGCTCTAATTAAAATACCAAGCCCATCATTGGGCCTGGAGCCCCACCTGGGTGTCAGATGCTTTTGCAGAATCTGAGGACACAGAGGTTGAAGGGTGTGGCCATGTGGGGCCCCGTGAAGCCCCATGGGGGCACACAGGTGTGGCCAGTGTCCTTGCTGCGTGGTCAGCGCCCACCCCACACTGGACATGAAGATCCAGGAATCGTCCAGCCCTGTGGTCAGCAGCAGTGAGAATCCCAAGGGCCACCAGAGAGAGAAGTTCAACCTGAGCTGTGGCCTAAAGGTGTGCAAGGGGATCAGCAGTGTGAGCCCCAGGAATGAGCTTCATGACAGAAAGTTCTGGAATCAGAGGGTCCGAGGACAATGGTCACTGGGAGGGGCCCCTTTCTGGGGGTCCGTGCAGACTCAGGGTGGAGAGTGTGGGAGGACTGTGTAGCTCTCACACCTCAGCTCTGGCACTCCCCATCCTGGCCTGAAAATCGCTCTACCACCCAGATCCCAAAGGGCACAGTTGGGATCTGACTTTAACCAACACTGACTGGGTGCCAACAACATGCTCAGCACTTTGCATGCATCACGGCGTTGAACCCTTACCCCACAAGATGATCTGCTGGTGGGACTCACGGGCCGCAGGTAACAAGATGCCTGGTGACTCTTGGCTAAGCGATGGAGAGGATGAATTCTCCCCCTGCAAAATGTGAAGGAGACAAGCCCCATGGTCTGAGCAGAGGCTCAGTGACACCTTTGAGAACCGGATGCTCTCTATTTCAGAGCCCTTTATGTGCATGTGTTTCATCCTGATGCTGGTCATCCCATGGGCATGGCGATGGCTGCCCCAGGCTAATGATCTCATCTTTATACACAGTGTCCCAAGCAGGGAAAAGTGCCTTCATGTGTCTTTCCTTTCCAAGGGGAACATGTTCTCATGAACATTTCACCCCCAGCAGACTTCTATCTCTCATTGGCAATAAGGGAGTGAGTGATCGCCCCTGTTTACAAGGCATGCTGGTCAAGTGGATGACTCCAAGGGTCAGGAGTGACCATACGCTACAGTTAAGTGTCTGCTGCAGGTGGGTACTATTACTACCCTCCACTACAGATGAACAAAATCAAGGATCAGAGCGATGGCTGGTGTAGGTCTTTACAGTTGGTAGTGGTAGAGCAGGGACCCCACATCTCTCCTCCTGCAGAGCCTGTGGTCTTAACTCCTGTCCGGTACCACCTGGCAGGGACACCCAGACAGCCATAATGCAGGCTGACGAGTGGGGAGCACCAAGTGCTGTGGGGACACAGAGGACAGAGATTCTGCTCAGGCATGGTCAGGGGGAGTGAGCTGGAGAGGAGAGCAGTGGTTGTCCTGGCCTTTGAAAGGTAGTAGGACTCCAGCCAGGTGCAAGGGAAATGAAATGGGGAGGGTGAGCCCCAGGATGAATGAACATAGACAATGGGACAGTTCATGGATTAATCAAGGCTTTCTGGGTTGTAAGATGAATTTGTCTTGGGTCACCGGGAAGGCTGGAGGAGAGGAGCTTCAGACCTAGCCCAAGTAGGGGGCTCAAATGTGTCACTGGCGCCCTGTTTCTCTCCCTTGTTCCACTTGGCTTCACTATGCAGACAGGCTGGGTTAAGGTGAAAATCCTCCTGATACATAAAGCAAGTAGAAAGAGGATTTCTTGTCTGCAACATCTTTATACAAGCCCAGGTAAGACTCTAACTGGGTGTCTCAGTCCATTCAAACTGCTGTAACAAAAATACCATGGATTGGGAAGCTTATAAACATAGAAATTTCTTTCTCACTCTCTGGGGGCCTGGGGAGTCCAAGATCAAGGTGTTGGCAGGTGTGTTGTCTGGTCAGGGCCAGCTTCCTGGTTCAAAGATGACCAGGTTTTTGCGGTGTCCTCACACATGGCAGAAGGAGCAAGGGTGCCTTCTGAGACTTCCTTTATAAAGGCATGAATGGTATTGACTGAATCACTTCCCAAAGGTCCCACTTCTTAATACCATCACATTGGAAGTGAAGTTTCAATATACAAATTTTGTGGGGGACACATTCAGTCTGTAGCAGA